ATATATATATATATATATATATAACAAGAACCAAATATATATATATATACATATATCAAGAACCAAATATATATATATATATATATATATATATAACAAGAACCAAATATATATATATATATACATATATCAAGAACCAAAACTATAAATCTTCCCAGTCAAAGTGCATCGTATCAACGGGTTTTGGGGGTAGTACGTACCTGCAAAAGAGAGCAGGCGAGGGCACAGGCTTGGTCGACATGTACGCAGAGGCCGATGTCTTGGAGGATGGCGGCGGGGACATCTGGCAGCCCCACCATGTCACAGAATGCAATGTACGGCGTCAGGTTGTTGTGTACGCAGCAGTGGGCCAGCAGCCGCGACGACAGCACAGAGTCTTGCTTGTACATGCCCTACAAATACAATAATTTGGAGTGTCCATGTTGAGATATATGTACTTACGTGCAGGAGGGGTAGGTGCAGGTGCGGGGGGCGCTGCAGACACTGGTCCAGTACGAATTGGGGCACGGACGTCGTGGTGAGGAACGAGCGCTCGAGGCACTTGTACACCAAACTGCCCAGTTCCAAACTCACAGCCACGGCATTGGCCAGGTCACTCCACAGCACAAATACATGCGACAGCGCGGGAATCACCTTGTCCACATCGCTCTATACATTTATAAGTACGCACACCATCACAAAGCATAGATTTATATATTTTTCATTCTACATGTATGCATGTCTATATATATTTCACCCACATACATATAAATGTATATATTTAGGAAAATGCACTATAGATTGTAGATATATCAATACACTTTTCCCGTACAAAAAAGATTCTTTCAGCCTGTCCTACTAAGTGCTTCGACTTGTATTCCACCATCGCATCCAAACCAATTTATATATTTTTTATTTTTTCGCCCAAACCCCCCCATACATATCCTCGCCCCCTTAGTATATATATATATATATATATATAAATCTTTCAGCGAGAAAGCACAACACACACAAAACACAGCAGGAGTACAGACAGGCAGCCTATGCAAAGCTCTCATATATTTTGTACCTGAACCAGTTGCAAGGCGAGCATGGGCTCTCGAAACACTTGGAGGGACTCTGGGAACGCCAGGGCAGCGACGTCCGCCCGTGTTTTCAGAGGGTGCGACCGGTCGGGGGACGGCGTCGACGGGTGGGTATCGTCCAGAAACGACTGCTCCGTCCAGTTGGACGCCATGTCCACGTCTTCTGACGGCGGCGGATGATGGCGCGGGTGCTGGTTCGGAGATGTATCGTACTGGGGCGACACATTCGGCCGTTGGGGCGATGACGTGGCACGCTGAGGGGACGACGACGTGGGAGGGGTCGAGTGCTGCGGCGACGGCCTGTGATGATGCGACGGCGAGTTGTTCGACTGGTTTGGCGATGACGTGATCGCAGTATGGCCTATACACATACGTGGTACAAATACAAAGCAACCAAGAGACAGGTCTAGTACTACTACTAGTATTACTACTACTAGTACTCGCATGGGTGATACAACGAATGACAGTCCCACATTGTAGTTTTAACATTGTGCTGGCGGCTGGTGGAATGCCACTTGCCGGACCTTCGAAATCTCATATAAAACTAATTTTAAGAGGTATCTTTGGGAAACAGCATTCTATCGTTTTAGCCAATCATAAGGCAACCTTCATTCATTTTACATTCTTTTTAGCCACTCTAACTTCTGAAAAGCTCGATTATGTTAGTTTTTTTCTTCACAATCCCCCCAAATTGGCAAATTTCACTGAATAGCACAATATACATGTAAATAGTAAACGAAACGTACGAATGCTATGTGCCCCAGAAAAATATAATTTTAAAAAAATCACTTTGAACCATCGTCATCACTAGATACCCATAATTCAACCAAAAGCACATCCATCACAAGTGCCTATATATATATTATATATATATATAACCCATAATTCAACCAAAGACACACCCATCACAAGTGCCTATATATAAATATATATAACCCATAATTCAACCAAAAGCACACCCATCACAAGTGCCTATATACATATATATATTCGCTCTATACGTAGACCATATACAAACTAGCACCAGTCGTACGTACATAGCATGTACAATATATATTACCTGGAGCACGAGGAGTAAAGTGCAGTGGGAGCGCCGCCTGAGATTGCTTGCCCAGCGCCGGGTGGAATTCCCCGAGGTAGTCGACCAGGGGCAGCAGGTTGCGCATCATGCCGAGCTTGATCAGAGCCGAGATGGCCGCCGCCACCTTCGCGGCCACGTCCGGCGCGCCGTCCACGCGGGCGACGAGGAACGTCATGATATCCTGCACCATGCCATGGTTGCGATTCTTGGTTGCCTTGAGCTACACACACAGTCAGTTGTCGTGGGTGTATATATCTTGTCTTCCTCCATATATATATATATATATATATATATATGGAGAAGGAACACGAGGCAAGATGTGACAGTGTGCAGGATGGATGACACGTACGAGCAACATCATCGCAGGCTCCAACTGGAGCACGGGGATGTCTGGGCTGTAGTGTAAAAAGTCGAAATACATGGCGTGCAGCACGCGGGTCTTGGCGGCGGCGGTTTTGCTACACAACGTATTGGATTCAAAATATATAAATATCAAACAATTATAAGATAAATGCGTTTGGATAGAAAAATAGATAGGAAACCCTCCCGAGATCTTGTTATAAAGCCATTAACGGACTTACTTGAGAAGGAACAACCAGCCCAAAATGTGATACCGCGGTGTCATCTTTAACTCGACTGCTTGGCTGGATGGCTGGTGCACGGCGCATACAAATCTATGTATGCCCGTTCAAATTAGACAACTGAATCAAACACATACAGTAGTAGTATTCTCATAGAAAAAATAACGAAATAGTATTGAACTATATAACAGTGGTACAACGCACACACTCCAGGTTCTATAATCATGATAGAAGAACATGACTCGTTGCGATACAAGCACATACATATTCAGTCCCTATCAACGCCATATAGCTTGCAATAGATGGACACAACACTACTATATATATATATATACTATATACATCTTACGATAGAAGCACAGCTCCACGCCACACACACTACGCGCCATGTACCATGCGATACAAGAACATTTATCCAATTACAACACCATAATTCATACACTGTCCATGAATTACTATGCTCAAACGAGCGCCAACCAATCAAAACCCAGAGGTACGAATCAAATGGCCAATCAAATCCCCGCAAACATTGAGTGTGCACGTAAGGTCGTATATGATTGGATAAAAAAAAAGAGAATGACGATGGACGGATGATATGATTGGCTAAAAACAATTAAAAACGAATGAAATTTTAGTCCCAATGATAGTTCTTAGATAAAAATATACTGTGAATTCGCTATAAACAATCCCAAAATTCGCCTGGTTTGTCGAATCAATATGGAATCATCACGCCAGAGTTTTTGATTGGTTGAATATACTTGTCCTTTCGAGCCAATCAAATCCACTCTCAAAAATGGATATTAGCCAATCGCGTCGATGATTCGTGATTATTCGATTCGGCGGCGAGATTATTCGATTCGACGGGGATCTGGAAATTCGTATCGAATATATACCACAAAATATCTCATTCTATTTTAAAAGATTCACTAGTTTCCTTATTGTTCTGCTGCACACAATAATACCACGAATATATCTTTGATACCATATATATTCTCGTACCGGATGAGGTCGGCGATGCGGCCTTCAAAGGCTGACTGACCCTGCAGAAACGCCGCTTGAAACCACTTCTGGTACCGATGGGCTGCTACGTGCGTTACTTTATCGAGCACAAAGCGCAGATGCTCATGCACTTTGAACGTCAGTCGACCCACAACAAACTTGGACGGCGTTAGCCCCAAGGACTGAGTATGTAGCCACGCCTGTAGGGGGGCGACGGCTGGGATCTATTTGCACACACACAAGTTGTCGTCATTATATTTGCTTGAAAGTAAATATATATATATATATACGGTTTGACGAAACGGGTTGTATTCGATACACAACTTTATATATCGTCATTATATCTGCTTGATAGAGGGTGATAGTATATATATATATATATACGGTTTGACGAAACGGGTTGTATTCGATCTTTACACAAGTTTATATACTCAGAATGACCTGATGTGTAGGTTGATCGTTTGAGGTCTATGACTAACCTACTACAGACAACGAGGGAATTTAAGGCTCATCCAAGTTTTGAGTGTTACACACTTTTTTCAGCCAATCAGCAGCAAATCACGAAATACTTAAATTTCTATTGGTGAATTTTTATAATATGTTTCGAACTACGCTATCCAATCATATCGTGAAATTTGCGCTACACACAGAACTTCGATGAGCCTTAAATTCCCTCGTTGTCTGTACTTACAATAATGCAAACTTTTTTATTGACAATAATACTTGCATAGTTTCGAATACCATACTGTATACATGTCATACGTGATGCTGTTGCAAAGTGGGAGGGAGATCAGTATATATATATATATATTTGAAGAAATCAGGCTAGTATTTGAGTGTAGATATACAAAATAGATACGTACGAGTGGAATTGCGTCGTCGACAAGGCGGACGAGTTCTCGGCCGGCGACCAACATGGCACGGGCGTGGTTTGAGTGCAGTGACAACAGCGTGTGGATAACCTGACTGGTCACGGCGTCGTTCTAACACAAATATATGTCAAAAATATATATAAAAGAACGATGACCGTGATAAATTCGCTCGATCGTATCGATCCCTTCAAGCCAAAACGATGCAAAAAATGTGTTTAAATCAGATTATACATATATATATATAGTATATATATGTACGATATGGTCAGATTTCCATCCTCGTATATATATATATTTATACGAGGACGGATATATATATATTTATACGAGGACGGAAATCTGACCATATCGTACATATATATACTATATATATATAAATTATATACTATATATATATAAATTATATACTATATATATATATATAGTATATACTATATATATATATATAGTATATACTATATATATATATATAGTATATATATGTACGATATGGTCAGATTATATACTATATATATATATATAGTATATACTATATATATATATATAGTATATATATGTACGATATGGTCAGATTTCCGTCCTCGTATAAATATATATATATACGAGGATGGAAAGTAGATGATTCGACTAACAGTAAACTAAGGTCATTTGTGATATCACTGGGTTATTGGTAGTGATATATCATGGACTCAAGGCGTTGAACTATATATATATGTTGTTGTATATATAAACGTACAGGTTTGGTGGCATAGAGCTCGGGGAGGATGCTGAGCAGCGTAAACGCGATGTGTGGGACGATGGAGTCCCATATCGCAGGGGTCGCCACCACCCGAACGAGCCACTCAAGAAGGCTCGGCTCGGCGTCTGCGCAAGGCACCCCCACGTATCTACATGTGTTTGTCCGCATGACGCTAAAAGAAGAAGCAAGGGTTGTTACCGCATCAGGACGATCAGGAGCGCGTCGACGTTGACACTGTCGTGGATGCATTGCTCGACGAGCCAGAGCAAGTTGGCGCGACACGACGGCGCGAGGCGGAGGAAGCGGATGTCCACCAGAGCATGCAGGCCTTGGAACGTCTTGTCCTTGATCGCTTGGTTGTCGTTCCAGAAAGTCCGAAGAAGAGCCCAGAAGATCTCCTTCGAGTCTGTCAACAGACCGTACACCAAGGCCGTGTGCTTCTCGAACCCGTCGACGGTTTTCCACTTGTCCAGGTCGGCCATGTCCCCCGTGAGTTGCTTTTGGGCCGTCATGTAATGCCACGCCCAATTCCGGTCCAAATCATCCGGGGCGTCCAACGGAACATACACCAGGAGTTTCGACGACGGAGCAGGAACTAGTGAATTCGCCCGACCCAGGCGAGGCGGACCACCCGATACCGCTGGTGGCTGAGGAGATGGAGGAGGAGGGACATCATGAGAAGGTGGAGGCGGGGCTGCAGCTGCTTTCGGAGACGCGGGTGGAGGCGACGGTGGTGGCGGTGGCGGCGAGTCGCTCATAGCTCGCAGGACTTGTCGCGATCTGCGGTTGCGCTTAAGCAAATTATCCGGACAATGGATATTATCCGGCAGGACGTACTGTATTTCCAACTTATGGTATGGTGCAAGTCATCTTAAAGACTAACAGATCGGCCATCCTCAGGAGGAGACGTTTTACTATTAAACGCCTCGGTTATTTCAGTTAAACCCACGTAATGTTGACGTTAAATTATTTATACTTACGTTTTTTACCTGGTAAATAGGTTAAACATCCTGAATAATCCGGATACAATGGAAAAGTTCATACGGATAAGTGCTATATACAAAGACCAAGATATACTTGATGCTCCTTTTCGGCCAAAATGCGCCTGGCTCCGTATATTTCCATACAAAAAGGCTGGTTGGTTTAAATTCTATACTCGATCAATTTTTCACCAATCGAAATTTTGAACCGTAACTTCTGTTGGTCTTGACCAGTTCTATGTTATTACGGCTTATTTTCCTAAAAAATATCAATACAAAGTTGGAATAGCTGTCGAAAGACAAGGCATTTTTTTGTAGTCTTTAGTTGAAATGCACCATATAAACTACCAACTTTTCACAAAATTTTCTGACTTCTATTTCATATTCATTACTCAAAATTTCAGCAAATTGAGACATAGAATCGACAGATCTCTATGTGGTGAAGAAATTCTACGTCTCAGATTCAAATTTGGTGATGAATTGGTCCAGAAATAGATATTTAACCTAGCGGTATTTTACATGGGCGCTTGGATATTTGGCCATAGGTTGCCGCTAAGAAGTATTTTGCTTTTTGTATGTGACTCTTATCCGTATATTGTATCCGGAGGCAGTTGGGACCTTTAACCTCCCATTGCAGGGATAAAACGTATGCAAGTTGTATTTAACGTATTTGGGTTTTGGGTTTTGGGTTTAACTACATAAATTGTACGTTAAATAACAAAACCTCCACTCTTCGATTTGGCCAAAGTCGGAAGTTTTTAGATGGCATGCACCATACTATTATAGTACCGGTACAGCATTCTGCAAAATAGAAAGGTCATTTTTTTATGTAAACAATGGCTCATTTAAATTTGGATAAATGAATGATCACAAAATAGTTGGTTCTTTACTGTTAAACACTACTCCGGAGTAACTTTAGTTAGGGTTCGTCTGGTCCTGTAACACACAGTAGTACTGTATTAATACTATTAATAGCTAAGGGTACGTCTGGTAACAGTCCAAAAATAATATGCCATTTTCTCGCAAAATGGGATTAACCAAAATGCCATTTTCAAAATGGAGGTAAAAGGTCCATTTTGTAATGTGGCGTTTTGGACCTCTTCAACGAGTAAATCCCACGTGGAATTATTGGATTTGGGTTAATCCTCTGCAAGCAAGACATCTTTCAATTTTGATCAGATTTGTTGAATTCGGCCCTAAAATGGCGCTTTAAGCCTGAATATTGCAATATTTCCGGTTGGCGTGAATCAGTTGTGCGGCGGACGAAATATACCAGAAAAAACCCCTGAAAAATGGTGTAGCAGTACCAAGCGACGACGACCCAAAGGACGAAGGGGCTACATCAAAGGCCTCCTCAGAGGCCGTGGACTACAGTATCATCACAAGGAGATCGCAACGTCCTCTAATGTTTTGTAACCCCCCTTCCCCTTGCAATCCAGCATCCAAGTGTTCAAAATGCTGCAGGCAACCTTAAAGCAAAGTATAAAATTACATAAAATTACTCTCGTTCAGTTCGTTGGCCTATCTTGACACGATTCGAAATGGCTTGAATCAGTATTCTTGCATGCGGCAACATTATTGCTCTAAACGTTCCTTCCATACCGGTATAAAGAACCGGCGCCGTTGTATTGTCGATATGATATACAAATTTGGGGACGGGTAGGGTCCAATCGAATCGCGCCGACCAAACCGATCCACAATCGATCTGATTGGTTGAATTTCATTGAGAAGGTTTTTTGATTGGCTAATAATTTTGAGCTTATCTGTGAAGTAGCCAATCAAATTGATTTAAATTCCAACAAGAAACCTCGCCACAACACGAAAATTCACTCGAAAGCACAATATACAGCTGCATTTGTTGGTTGCGACAGCGTACTGTAGCAGCTCCTAACACGGCTATACATGTGTGACCCTGAAGTTGATTGTGGTGACAGATTTGTTTCAATGGACGTGTACGGATCCAATGCGTTCTTCGAGTCACAAAGGCATCCTCGGACCCATACGTCCTGTATGTTTGCACGCATTGCACATAGAACTGTGTTGTTGGAATGTGCACTGGTTGTCACGCGATGGTCTGTCTTGGCCATACGCGACCACTTGTGACTAGGCACTTACGATTCGTGGTGCTGTATGTGTGGTTGGAAATGATTTCAACTGAGTGGCCGATACACGTTACCACTCATTAAATGACCCGGCCAATGGTCACAATGACATTTTCATGTTGAAGCGTTGAATGATATACCGCCAAGTACAATGAATGAAACCCTTCACGCTTAACATTCCCAGCCAATGCACAGTACGTTACATCGACACAGCCAATAGATTATTGTATTTGAGGTCGCGGGTAATTACAGGGATAACGGGTTTGGAGGAAAAATTGCACAACTTCCAAATGTCCATTCGGAGCTGCATTCCCTACAGCACAATCTGCTCATGGAATTACTCGTCCAACACTCGAGCTTTTTCGAACATTTGTGAGGTAGAATTTCATTATTTTGATTTTTGTCGACATGATATTTGGGGATAATAATAAAACAATGAATCAATCCAATCCGATTTCACGAAACATTGGTCGATGCGAAAATGCGTTTTATAGGTTTTATACGCCGATTTTGGCACTGTTTGTTATAACAAGAACGTACGCCGTTTGTTCCTTGAAATCGTTACATTCTACTATTATATTACTTGAATAAAATCAACATCCGACACTGTCCATATTCATCAGACCGTGTATTCGTACGTGAGCTGGTCGCTTCGGTTGACGAGGTGGCGTCGGAAGATATCCCAGCATTGGTCCCAGGACCAGCACTGACTCGCCTCTTCGACCTTGGCGCGGTCCAGCGCGAGGCACTTGTCGATGTTCTCCGTCATGTCTTCGCCCATATAGCCCGTGACGCCGGGCTCCAAAATGTCCTTGGGCCCAGGGACTTCGTAGCCTGCGACGGGGGTGCCCACCGCCAGCGCCTCGATGATCACCACGCCAAACGTGTCGGTGCGACTCGTAAACACGAGGCAGTCGGCGTGCGCGTAGTACTCGGCTAGCGCGGCGCCAGTCTGGAACCCCGCAAAGATCACGTGGGGGTACTTGTGCTCCAATTCCTTGCGGTACGCACCGTCGCCAACCACGATTTTGGTCGCGCCGGGGTACTTTACGGTACAAAAGTCGTCCAGACCCTTCTCCTTGCTCACGCGGCCGACGCTGAGCAAGATGGGGCGACTCAAGCTGCTGAATTTGGTGTTTTCGACACTACGTAACGAACTCTTGAAGGTCGACCGATCCACGCCAAACGTCATGGGCTTGATGTAGCTGAGAAACCCGTGGTTCTCCAACTCTGACACCATCGTCGCGGTCGTCGTAAGCACGCGACCCGAGTTGCGGTGGAACCAACGCAGGTACCCGTACCCAAAGCTCTCGGGGATGCCGTACATGACCTGGAGGTACTCGGGGATCTTGGTATGGTACCCCGTGTTGTACCCGATCTTGCGCTTGTCGCAGTAGAAGCGAGTGGCGAGACCCAGTGGGCCTTCGGTCGCGATGTGGATAAAGTCGGGGTTGATTTTCGCAATCTTGTTGTCAATGTCGAACGGCAGCGACAGCTTGATGTCGGGGTACCCTGGACAATCAAAATGCGGGAACTCGGACGGATTCATGTACACGATCTTGTATCCGTCACGGAACGCCAGTCGCTCGATGTTCTTGAAGACCGTCACCACGCCGTTAATGTTGGTCTGTAGGTTGTCGTTCACGACAAGGATGGTCTTCATTTCAGGCTCCGGTTCGTTCAACATGGCATCGATACCGACATTGTGGGTCTCCTGATTGTCGCTCATGGTGAATATCGAGTGGAGGAAGAGACGGCGGCGGCGGCGATATGGACGGCGGCGACGGCGTCTGTTCTGGCACTCGGGAGGCTTGTTGGGAAGTGACTGGCAACAACATCAACTCACTCTTCCGCGAAAACCGCGTTTTATATAAAAACCGGGTCTTTTAGCCATTGATTGGCTCAATGAATCCAAGGAATCTTGGGACAAACATATGCCCAGGGAGAAACCTGACGTGTGCTGACTTCAATGGGCAAAATCCCTACGAACCGACGAAAGTTGTTGATCGAGGTGACGTTGTGAATAAGGGGCGGAACCCAAAAGATAACAACTTCCTTGCGATGCAACGAGTGAATATGCTTTACCACTCAAAATGTGGCTTATCGTACGCTGGAGACGAATGGCCTATGATGTGTGTTTACCTGATGTTAGCTGATAAGAATCCATCTTTACTGGGAAAATTCCCCAGCGAGTAAAGCGTGAAAAACTAAAACCAATATTCCAGGGATATTTGTCTCGAGAATGCTCTAATTAGGCGGCTTGAAAGTACTCTGCAGGTTTCATGCAAGTCAGTCGAGGAGCTATGGACGATCAATAGCTCTTTGCTACATACTGTACTGCGTCGTATTGGTTGTTATGAGTACTGTACGGCGCCATTCGTGATACTATGGTTGAGCTAATTGCGACACGAGAGAAATTGGTACGTTAGTTTGTCCCATCCAGCCGATTCTTGTACGGTACGTATATGCACTTTACGAACCGAGACGGGGGCAGAATAGGGCTACATGCACTCCGTACCAACATTCCTACCCTTGTTCAAGTAGTCGTTGTTGGAAATCCTGATCCATGGTTTAGCCACGAGGGCAAGTACTTGCATCGAATCCTGAGATTCGGCGATTTTGGAACCCCGCCAGGGATATGCGAGCGTTCTTAGACTACGCACAGTTTTCGTCAGAGCTACTAACGTTACCCCAAGTTCTTTTTTAAATGTCATGTGTATTACGCGACCAGCCCCTATGGTGAGGCTTGGTCAACCAAGGCTAAAGGAGAGGTCCCCATCGAGGAAATCGAGTTGGGCCGCAAGCTATCCCTAAGTTATTGGTGCTGAATTTGTCGTGTTTAGAGTTGACTGTGTGCCACTGATTGCCGCTGCATTTTCATAGCGGCTAGTCTCAACTCATCCGAATATTGGACGCATTGCTAGTATACATACCGGTGTACTACTTACTGACAAGCACCAGCGCGTTGAATCGGTTGGGTAGCAGCAGTATTTACTGCCTTAAGTAATCCATTGCAGACTGGACGATTCAAGGGTAAAATAACAGTTTAGCCACAACCAACTGGCATCACCTAACGCGTTGGCTACACATGTCGTTCGTGTCCATGTGGTGTTTACATCATAGTCCGTCGTGGCCATCCCCTTCCTTCGACTCTTCGTCAGGAAGCTGCCCTCTGTTGCTGTTTTCGCAGGACGGGTGAATTTTGTGTCGAAATCCTGACACGTCTAGCGGCGTCAGGTGGTCGTCGTTCTCCACCGCCTACAAAGTCCCATGTTGCCACAAAGGTCTTTTCACTCAAGTCATCAACTCACTGCCTGGTCGGCGTCTTGACGCTCGATCCATCGAGCCATCGGGCCCTACGAACCACCCAATTCTGTAACAAAGACAAAACAATCGCCCAAGTTGAAGTAAGCAACATACGTGGCAATACGCATACGCGTAGTGAAGGGCTGTGTTGCCTCGACCGTCTGTAGCGCCAACGCTGTCATTGCTTGATTGTGCAACTAGTTCCTGCGCCAGCAATACCTTCAGCAGCAGCAGTATCATTTTAGGCAGCTAATAACTTAGCACAAAGAGCAATTGTGCGCTCTACGTACACTTCCACAAGCTGCCGCCAACATCAGGGGGGTGACCCCCACATCGTCACCGGCACTCGGAGACTGACCAGACGCTTCCAGCGCCTGTCGGGCGAGTCGGATCGTTTGGCCATACCGGGCTTCGACATTTGCATCCAAAGAACGAGAATGTCCGAGCTTCTTGGTAGTAGCAGCCCCTTCCCTTGCAAACCCCATGACCTATCCACGTCGTTATAGGTAACTAACTAACGTTACCCTCGACAAGTAAACAGGCATACCGCCAAGTGCAGCAGTGTTTTATGCGAACGCGGCGTGGGGGCTAGGTCGTCGTCGAGGCGGCTGCGACGATCATGTAAACAAGCTTGCAGCTTGTCAGGGTGGCCATCCCACGCTGCCTGCCATACATTCTACACACGATATTATCGCATATGCCAACGCTTTCGAACCGCATTCCACTGTACCGTAAAAGCCTCTCGCGTGACACTATTTTTAGCCACTTGAATTGGCGTGTGGCCGTGGCAGTCCTTTTCACGACTCCAGTCGCGACCTTCGACATCCCATGCACACAACAGTCGCACCATGTGGATGTGACCAGCTCTGGCTACCCGTACAACCATTGCATATTATTATTTTCAGCTGCTTGTATGAGAAGAGGGGGGGCCTTAAATACCTGCGATATGTAGGGCGTTCTCTTTCGTGCAGGTCCGACGATGATGTAATGTGATCGCAATTTTTGAATCGTTCGAGCCGAGTGACGTAGCATCGAGAGTTGCCACAAGCAGACTATGGGCTACAGACACATGCCCCGCCAGAGCACTTGCGTGTAGCGGCGTCATGCCGTGGTCGTCGACGGCATTTAGATTGGCGCCGTGAAGGAGTAGGAGTTGCAGCACGTCGTCACGACCGGCGGACGCCGCTATATGCAACGGCGTACGTCCTTGCATGGAAGGAACGTTCAGGTCAACGGTGTCGCATGCAAGCAGTGCCGACGCGATGGCGGCCGTGGCCTCCTCGTGGTCCAAATTAGCTGCACAGTACTATAAAAGACCAGATAAACAATATCCTCAGGAGTCAGAAAAGGTCGTACATGCAGTGCTGTCCATCCGTTGGCATCGACCGCATTCACGTCCGCATTGTGGCTGAGCGCGTAGTCCAAGGCATCCACACATCCAAACTGAGCAATCTACCACAGGTAGTCATTTAGAAAGAACATAATTAGGATGAAATATTACGAACTTTGTGCAGGGAAGTCTGCAACACAGACCCCGACGATAGATTGATGTCCGTTTGCCCAAAGTATTCCATCCGAGGTTGAATGGACACTGCACATTGGTCAGGTCTCTTGGGTGATGCCTTGCGTTGTCGGTCGACCAGCTCAAACCCGTCCAAAAGCGCTGAGTGTTTCCATCCAACGATATATATATATTAGTTTTTTCGATGAACTTTCAGAAACAAAAGGGCAAGTTGCACCTCGACGCAGCGAAGTATCTGGGGCGGCAGCGTCGAGAATAGCAGCCACATCAGCTTCGTCGTAGTCAGTACCACATCCCAGTTGAAAGCACTCTGAAATCGACGAACGGTGGCCATTGAGCGCAGCATAACTCAACGGATACATGCCAAAGTCATCTACCGGTAGATAAAAAAACTTATGTTGAATCGATTGTAGGTAGATACACCCCTTTTCTCAATCGCTATGTATATAGATAGCCATACCTTGGACATCAAAGTGGCCAATGTGCTTGCGAATGCACCGAACAATGCACGGATGATCGTGAATGAACTGGCTCACGTGAGGATTCTTGGAATGACACATGTAATGCAGGACATTTCGACGATGGCAATCCACGGGCTCTAGTAGCCCAAACAATAAGATGGCCAGACCAGCAGCGGTATCATGGCTGTTAGGGGATTTTGGGCTGCAATGAGGTTTCGAGGGGGAAGAAGGGCGTTGTCGCCGACGTGGGCTTGTGTCGTGATGCTTCAACGGACTGGCGGGGGCGCACCCACAAGTTTGGGGATACCCCAACACCACCGTACAAATGTCTTGATTGCCGAGCCCCACGGCGTACTGCATCACTGTGCGGTTCATGTCATCTCGAATCGTGCCAAGGTGGGCCAACGAACTCGACGCGAGGAATTGTTTCAATTCTGTCACGTCTTCCTTCACGATCGCGTGCAGAATTGGCTCGTGGATGGAGAATTTGGCGGTGAAGGCAAGGGGAGGGGGGCGACGTTGTCGAGGTTTGCCATTCTGGGACGATTCCTTGTGGTCATGAGCAGCCGCGATCTCCTTGTCATCGTACATCGATGCCTTCGATGCTACTCTTGTGCCCTTCGGCTCGTCATCACTGGTTTCTGATTCTTTCACATCACTGGTATCGTCATCGTCGTTGTCATCACTGGAACTACTGTGCCTGGTATGTTCTTTGGGGAAATCACTTCGACTGACCCTGCTATGCCTCGAGGCGGATCTAACTCCCTTTGCTTCAACCTTGGTTGGTAATGCCTTCTCGATGGATTTGGCGTCGCAGTTGTCGTCAATCTCGACTTCATTTTGTTCATGCTCTTTTGCTTCGACTGGAATGTCTACATTGAGTCCAATGCTACCCAGTGGTCGACCATACTTGCCCAGGGGACTTTTGAGACTACTTGTTGGTAATGTTGACGGTACTAGCGTTGTATCGTGGGCTGCAAAGGAGGCGAGGGCTGAAATTTTTTTTAGAGGAGCCAGCCCTTCCGACGCAGCAAACGATGACAGTGCCGACGATGAAGTGGCGGGTGGTTTGTGGGATGTTGCTGCAGCTTCATGTGCTGCGAACGATGACAAAGCGGTCGAATGTTTGGGCATCAACGAGTTAGATGGGGGCTCAAGTTTGGCAAAGGAGGCGGACGCCGACGTTTGTGGCTTGGATTGTGTTGGACTCGTGAGTTCATGCTTTGGTGTGGCGGCGCGGAGCGAATTCAACTCGGTTGGTTTCAAGTTCGAGAGGGGGGGTGTTGTCGTATTGTTGTTTTGGGCTGCGAAGTTCGACAATGCTGAGGGTCTTGACGGACTTTGAATGGGCTGCAAACTCATGTTCCGTGAAGCTAAATTGCTGAAACGGCAGGCGGTTTGCCTGGTTCAGTTCTTTATATTGTACTCCTTGGCCTTTCTGAAATTCTTGTCACTGATTGGTTGAGATGATTTTTCGTTTTTCGTATAACCCAATCCATTCTCTGCTCGAAACTCATTTCAAAAACAAAATAAATACTAACGTTATTACTACTCCACGAAATCGATCACTATCGATCACTATCTCCATGGCTACGGAAGTGGCGGTTGCTCAAAGTGGGCGATAGTTAATAATGTTCGCCGCTGGGAATGGACATTTGCAGGTGTGATATTCCGTAACATCCGCCTCCAAGTTGCGTTGACGAGGGCCACCAGCTACAATCGGCTTGATGTGGTGACGTATCTTGCTCTGGCCATGGGGACTATGTAGTCAAGTTGTTGCACCAGTACAATTTTGGATGTGCGATTCAAATTGAGCTGCTAGAGCCCATTTAGAGGTCGTCCAATGGTTATGCTACCATAATTAACTGTAAGGTCGACGCAATACAAATGGACTAGTTGACATTTGGAGATAGTGAAATGGCTCGTTGAATGCGCTTAATTATAGCCAATCCAATTCAACCTGTTTTATCCAATCAACGACGTTTGTAGTACTACAGTAGTACTCCCATCGCCAACATCGTCATGCGTGTGTCTGCGCCTGGCAAGGTGCTGATCACGGGAGGGTACCTCGTCCTCGAGCCTTCCTTCTCGGGAGCAGTCATCGCAGCGAGCTCTCGCTTCCACACGTCCATCACTGTGGAGTCCCTCGAAGGGAGCGATGACGACCCATCATCCGCATCGTCCACCTCTGTCCCGGTCCGTGTCTTCAGTCCCCAGTTCCATCAATCCATGCATGGCGAGTTGTCGGCCACGTCGTTCCGCTTCGCGTACGTCGTCACTCGTCATTACCAGTCGTTCTTGATGATGTTTGTTTGTCCAGCCACGACAGCGTCCAAAACTGTTACGTTGAGAAAACCATCGGCATCTGCGTGGTCGCGCTAGTGGGTCTCCTTGGCGCCGCCGCCTTTGAAGGTCGTATCCGCGACATGCTCCGCCGCCGTCAAACTCTTGTCATCACGCTCGAGGCTGACAACGACTTTTACTCGCAACGAGACCAAGTACGACCTCCTGCAACTACCTCGACACTCCTCCCTCATATGTTGGGATATAGCTGCGCAGTCGGGGGTTAGCAGTTAGCCGCACAGCCCTGGCGTCGCTGCCTCCGTTTTTACCCAGCCTTGTGGACGAATCTGGTACTGTTTTACATGTGCAATAAGCTCTCAACCGTGCTCGTAGGCCAGGCCAAGGTGGCCAAGACTGGCATGGGCAGCTCCGCCGCACTTATCACGTCCCTCGTCGGCGCGCTGTTAGGATTTTTCGACGCCGCGCAATTGCCTACGAAAGCCGGACCCCACGATACCTCCACCCAAGCTGGCGTGACCCTCGTGCATAACTTGGCTCAGATCGCTCATTCTATCGCCCAAGAAAAGGTACCGAAAGGACTATATATAAATAACCATTACTAGTATATAATACTAGTATGGTATGTAGACTAGTTGGTTTGAATATATATATATATGCTTGATCTGTTGGGTGTGTGTTCTTCATCCTCTGCACGTACTTCGTATATGTTTTATTTGTATTATTAATATTAAAATATTAATAATATGGTTTTGAATTGTATTAAAACCCTGTAAAGTATATTATTTCGTATCGTTGGAATGACGTTAGATATATTTTTTAAAAATAGATCAAAAAAATTATATTTATTTCTGTATATACACAGCTCCTTGATACTACAGTACTAACTAGTATATGCCAGTGAATACTTCTGTAGTATATGCATGAATGCACCCCGAAAACGACCGAATTGATAGTATTTTAAACCTTATATCTTGGGTAGATTGGATCTGGCTTTGACGTGTCGGCGGCCGTGTATGGGAATCAGCAGTACAATCGTTTTCGCCCTGACGAAATCCAACCATTTTTGGCCGACGACGTCGAAACAGTCGACCCGGTGGCGTTGGCGGCGCAGTTGACGGCGCCGTGGGACAATGTGGTCGTACGTGTCTTTCCAACGCTACCTGTTGCATTCACACGATGACGATAGCGACCATTTTGTTTGCCGGAGGGCATGCACATGATTATGGGCGACGTGAATGCTGGGTCCGCGACCGTGTCCATGGTGCGCAAAGTGCTGACGTGGCAATCCCACGATCCCGTCGGCGCCGCCGCCCTCTGGGCCGACTTGAACGCGCAGAACATGGCCATTCCAGCCTTGTTTGAACAACTGCATGCATTGCAAGCTCAGGATTCAGCTCTCACGAACACAACCAAGCAGCGCAGTGTGTCCGAGTTGCTTGAAGAGCTCAGTCGGATGCCGTTCCACGAGGTACGGCCACATCGCTACGTTTGTGTATACTACCTACTGTATGTACATGTATGGATGGTTGAATTGATTATATTGTCGAAATTATATATATATATATATATATATATATAGTGGACAGCAGCGGATGCAGTGGTGGGGACGCTCTTGACGTCGCTACGTACGACGTTTCAAGGGATTCGAGCCCTCTTGCGGTAAATATTATATATATATAATAGGATATATCTATATAAATTGTATATATATATATATATATATATATATGAGAATACATTTGTGGATGAAATGACATTAGGAATATGGGGGAGTTAGCTCAAGTGGGCATTGAACCAACGGATCAAACCGCGTTGATTGATGCGACGATGGCCGTACCTGGCGTGCTTTTCGCTGGGGTTCCTGGAGGTATATCAATTGTAGCATGTAGCATGTCGGTCCATATTATATATATACAATATTGGACATATATATATTTGACAATGTGACGACTGTAGCTGGCGGCAACGACGCCATCTTTGCGATCGTTTTGCATGTGGATGTACTGGATGCAGTTGAAGCCTTTTGGTCCACGTGGACGGCTACCAGGTATGTAGCCTATATATTTAGCCTTTGTTTATAACATTTAATTAGTGTGAATTGTTCTCTAAAAACATTAATTAGTGTGAGTGCGCTCTTGGTGGACGCCGCGCCAAACGGGTTTCAAGGCGGCCTCCTTCGTCACAACGAATGACGACCTCCAAATAGTGTGCATGTGCTGCGACACAATAGACATATTCGAGACGATAATGAATAGAGTTTGGACACTATAAAGATTTTAAGTGGTCGACCTCCCGCACCATGGCCACGGCCGGATCGATATCGAGCATGGAGGGAATCCGCATCTTGATGGGAACGAATGCCCCGGTCGGAGGACATGTCTCGTCCTCGTCAGAGCTACTGGTCGACGACGATGCACTATCACTGTCGTCGTTGCTCTCGTCATCATGGCTACTTTCATCAGAGTCATCGATATCGTGAGCGGGCACAGCAATCGGAGCGGTTCGACGTTGTTGGCTTGGCCCGTCAAAGATAAACGAGAACGCCATCCGTGACAATGCATTCGACATGTAGAATGTACCCACGACGGTTGCCAGGAACGTCGCTACCGTCGGCCAACTCCATGTGTCGCGGAAGAAGATCTCGTTCACGGCGCGGCGCAACGTTGCTTCCATTGCCAATCTATAACGGATGAAACCGTCGTATTATCCGAATAGTGTCCACTAAGTACGGTATACCTAAGTACGGTTGCATATAATGATACAAAATGACTATATGGGTCGACCGACCATATTAAGTGCGTGCTATATCCAACATGTTGCCGCAGATCGCTAATGCTGCAAGCCAGTCCAGCGCAGTCCCCAATGGAAGTGGCACTTGTCGGTGGCGCCATGCAGGTGGTCTGTGCAATCATCAACAACGTGCTGGGGAAGAAGAAAGAAGATGACCATGCAACCGAGACGGAACTGCAGCAGCAGCTCCTGGACATGAAGCAGAAGGTCGTGGCGCTGGAAATGGAGCTCGCCGAGCTGCATCACAAGATGGTGCGTGACGAGCGGGAAGCAAGGCAACGCCGGCTCAAGCGAACAGTCGAGACGTTGCAGCTGCAGATTCGAAAAAACAAGTTGGACCGCCGAGACATGTCCATCCTCATGTCGTTTGCAATTGTGCTGCACCGGGTGAACTACCTGTGGATAGGCGGTGTCGTGTGCTTTTGGTACATGGTTGGTCTTGGCTTGGAAATGAGTGCACAGTATGTCTTTCATCGTGGCGAATAGCCAACCTGGTCCCTAATTGAAGCCATTTATACCTGAGATCCAACACTCGTCGCGACAGCGTCAGGGATTTCCTAGAGAAAGGGGTTCACAACCCCCGACGATGAAATCGCCGCGACAGTTGCATTGAGATACGCGATACGAAACCACGCAGAGAGAGAGCGCCAGGATACGACGTGCCCACGGCGATCCACGGGCTGCCTTTGGTCGTGAGTTCCGTCGTATAAGTGGTGGATGAAGTGGTTCACGTCGGCCAGTGCTTGATTCCACAACGTCAGAAAGCGCAAAGTTTCCGTCGACAGGTCGTTCTTGGGTGTGATTTGGCCGTAGAATCGATGCTCCGACGCGACAGCTTTGGCCTTGTGTTGCTTGGCGAGCACGTCAACGTACCCCTTGGGCATCTTGTCCATCTCGTCCTCGCCGTCATTGTGTACAGTATGATGGGGTTCCCGTCATGGTTGCCCCAATTCGTGAAGTGGTCCAGTTGTTGTTGATACCATTGCGTTTTCGGGGCGTCGTGAGTTCATGGAGCTCGATGACTTGTATCGTATTCCTGTAGTCGTGTGCGTATCACATCGAAACTTGCGGCTATCGATGGACGATGGGGATAGATTGGCAGCATGCATACAGCAACGGAAATCGCCACCAGACGATACTAGTATCCCATATAGTAATAGTACTGTCCCAAACTCAACGATATGATTGCCCGATGAAGGGCATGCCAAGCTTGGTTGTACTCACCCGAATGAATGATGCACCCATGCAATGCCACCACCACCTCTCTCCTTCCCAGCCATCTCACGAGCTTTGCTACATCGATGCCGATGCTACGTAGCTAGCTTAGCTCTAAACGACGAATGTCTTGAGCTGTTGCGAATCTCCATTTTCGACACTTTTATGCGGTTGCAGTTCCAGGGCACTTCAACTTGCGTGACGTGGCGCGCTGGGCGCGTAAGTTTGCCTAAGTGCGGTTCTTGATTTGGGCTAGAATTCGTACTTAATAAGATTCTGTACTTGGGTACAGTATGTGTTGGATTAAGTTTCGAGAAATGCATAGACATGTCTCGCACTTTCTAGAACTTCGACCGAATTTGGATTTTCTGGAAACGCGCGCCAACGCCCGTTGGAGGTCTGACGTCATTTTCGGATTTTCCCTCAAGAACACACACAAAACCAAGAAGAGAACGATGAGCTTGAACCCAAGCGAATTCACAGACAAGACCAACGCCTACCTCAAGGAATCGGAGGCGCTGGCAGAAGAACACAATCAAGCCCAGGTCACGCCGTGGCATCTCACAGCGGTGCTGTTCCGCGACAAGGAAGGGCTGGCGCGACGGATTGCCGAGAAAGCGCAGGCAGACTCGGACGTGATTGCACGCGACGCCCTGGCGCAAGTGAAGAAGATGCCGTCGCAAACCCCAGCACCCGACAACATTTCCATTGACTCGGCGCTCACAAAGGTCCTGAAAGCCGCTGTCAAGATGCGCAAGGATTCAAAAGACACACATCTTGCCGTGGACCACCTTGTCTTGGCGCTATTTACCTTTTCCCCCGTTGCCACACTGCTAGCGTCCCATCGACTGCAAGAAAAGTCCGTCAAGGCCATCAACGACGGGATTCGAGGCGGCCGCCCTGTGACGGGGCAAAACGCAGAGTCGAACTACGAAGCCCTGAAAAAATACGGGCAAGACTTGGTGGAGCTCGCGGCAGCTGGGAAGATTGACCCGGTGATTGGCCGTGACGAAGAAATCCGCCGCACAGTGCGCATTTTGTGTCGTCGTACGAAGAACAACCCCGTGTTGATTGGCGAGCCTGGTGTCGGGAAGACGGCCATTGTCGAAGGCCTGGCCCACCGCATTGTCCTGGGCGACGTTCCGGAGTCCATTGCGCAATGCCACGTCATTTCATTGGATTTGGGGGCTCTGATTGCCGGCGCCAAGTACCGCGGTGAGTTTGAAGAGCGATTGAAGGCGGTACTGAAGGAAGTGCAAGACAGCGATGGCAAGATCATTTTGTTCATTGACGAAATGCACTTGATCCTGGGAGCAGGGGCTACGAGCGGTGCGATGGACGCTGCCAACTTGTTGAAACCCATGTTGGCCCGCGGTGAGTTGCGCTGCATTGGAGCCACGACCTTGGAAGAATACCGCAAGCACGTGGAAAAGGACAAGGCGTTTGAACGCCGGTTCCAACAAGTCATGGTGAAGGAGCCGTCCGTTGAAGACACGGTGAGCATTCTCCGAGGGCTGAAGAGTCGCTACGAGTCCCATCATGGCGTGGCCATCACGGATGGTGCATTGGTGGCTGCGGCGACATTGGCAGACCGCTACATCACGGAACGTTTCATGCCGGACAAGGCGATTGATTGCATTGACGAAGCGTGCGCGAACGTGCGCGTGCAGCTGGACTCGCAGCCAGAGGTCATTGACGCGTTGGAGCGCAAGCAACTTCAGCTGCAAGTGGAAGCGACGGCGTTGGCCAAGGAGAAGGACAGCCGGTCGAAGGATCGTCTGAAAGTGGTGCGACACGAGCTGTCCCAAGTCCAAGACCAATTGACCCCCCTGGTACTACAACATCAAGGCGAGAAGGAAAAAGTGAACGAACTTCGCCGCCTCAAGGACAAGTTGAACGCGTTGCACTTAAAGGTGAGCCAGGCCGAGCGCAAGGGCGATTTGGCGCAGGTGGCGGATTTGAAGTACTATGCGATTCCCGATGTTGAGCGAACTTTGAAACGACTGGAGACGGAAAAGGCCAACGACACTCAAGCGAATCGACTGGTGGAAGAAGTGGTGCGCGAAGACCAGATTGCTCAAGTCGTGGCTCGATGGACGGGCATCCCAGTCGACAAGCTGACCACGAATGCCAGCGACCGCCTCTTGCACCTGGCTGATCGCCTTAATCAACGCGTGGTCGGGCAAGCCAGCGCCGTGGAAGCCGTGTGTGACGCCGTTTTGCGTTCCCGTGCAGGTTTGAGTCGTCGCGATCAACCCACGGGGTCGTTTTTGTTTTTGGGCCCCACGGGGGTGGGCAAGACGGAGTTGGCGAAAGCGTTGGCGCTGGAATTGTTCGACTCGGAAAAGCACATGGTGCGCATCGACATGTCGGAGTTTATGGAAGAGCACTCGGTGTCCAAATTGCTCGGTGCCCCTCCTGGCTATGTGGGCTACGACGACCAAGGCGGCCAGCTGACCGAACCCATTCGCCGCAACCCGTACAACGTGGTATTGCTAGACGAGATTGAAAAGGCTCACCCCAAGGTGCTCAACGTGTTGCTGCAATTGCTGGACGAAGGCCGCCTGACAGATTCCCACGGGCGATCGGTGGACTTTACGAACGTGGTGGTGGTACTGACGTCGAACATTGGCGCCGAGTTTTTGCTTCCATCTCCAGAGAACACATCGCCGTTGTCGTTGAATGGCACGGGCTTGCAAAGTCCAAAGAAGAAGCCGCGGTTGATTGACGAGCCCAGTCGCGCCCAATTTGAAGTGCAGAAGCAGTTGGTGCTAGGCACGTTGCAGCGCACGATCCGCCCGGAACTGCTGAACCGTCTGGACGACGTGGTGGTGTTTGAGCCGTTGGGCAAGGCGCAGTTGCGCGAGATTGTGAAGCTGCAATTCCGATCGGCAGAAGACCGTCTCCGCGACAGCCACCAAGTGACGATTTCCATGTCGACGCCCGCCCTGGATGCGATTTTGGCGGCAGCTTACGACCCCCAGTATGGCGCTCGACCTCTGAAGCGATACATTGAAAAGCACGTGATTACGCAGCTGAGTCGGTTGATTTTGGCTGGCAAACTCACGTCCAAGGCCCATGTTCAAGTCGTGGCGTCCAAAACGACCGACGGCGTGGATTTCGTCGTCCAGAACGCCGTCGCTCCGTAAGAACGGATTTGATATTTAGATGATTGTATAATTTTGAGAATTGTATGATTTATATGTAGATGATTGTACTAGTATAATCTATACATTTCACGTTTCTTGGAGGTTGGTACAGCTCACAGGACAGAGTGGTGATGTCACAAGGAAATTCGTTGAATGAAAACTCACTTGTGAGCACCTCACAAGGAAATCCCGATACTACAGTAACTGTAAGTATACAGTAGGTACCTCTCGTTTGTATGGGACCACACCAAAGAGTTTAAAAAACCCATTCATTAATCCATGGACCTGGTTGTATTTTCCACCATGTTATTGTGTATTTCACCTAAATTTGGACTTGCGAGTCATTTCACCAAATAGCATTCGAATATATTTCATCCTATTTAATCTTACTTATATATATATGGTTTTGCCCAATGCAGAGGGGTCAAACGTTTGGATTGGCAGAAATTTGACATAACGTGAGTTGATTGGCTCAGGCGGTTCTTTAATCGATTCCCCTACAGTAACAATGTAAGCTCCAGTTTCGACTTACTGTTAACAATATCATGGCTTTTGTTTGCCTTGTCCGCCATAACTGAAGTACTACGTAGCACTTGCCAAGGATTTCAACGGATTTTTGTGTCACCTCTACACTATTGTTAAACGCATGATTCACAACAATGATTCATGCACCAGTGTTGTTGTGGGCTTGCAATTGCTGCAGTTTCGTCACTCCATCCAACGTGTTTTCCACCGCCTCCAGACACACCATCACAACCATGGCATCTATGGACCCCACCAGTTTCAATAGCGGCCGCAAGCAGCCTAACACAAATCCAACACTACTACTAGTACTACTACTACTAGTACTACCACCACTTGACTTTGACCACAACATTGCAGCACAGCTGGTAATTAGTACCTTGCTCCACGAGGTATTGGGTCTGAACTCGCGACCCGCACGACGTCGCGTGTAAAATGACCCACGCCGCTTCCTTTTGCATGTTGAACTGGCCCGTGGTGAGCAACCCTACCATGGGGGGAACGATGTGGGCATCGACGATCGCTTGGATGTGCGGCATGCTGCCAGCCGAGAGGGTGCGCACTGTCCCGCACTCTCCCTCGCCAATGTTCTCCTTTCGAATGTGAAACAACGGCAGCAGTCGCGGCAACATCCCTTGGTCAATCAGAGTCTGAACTTGCACGTCCATGCCTGCTGTCATCATATTGCCCAGCGTGCGCACCACTGGATATACGACGTCTTTGTCTTTATGAGCGAGCAGTTGAATCAAGCGAGGTACGATGCCGGTGGTGTCGAGGACGTTCTGGATGCTGTTGGTCGGCCCGTCAGACAAGTATGACAACGCCCAGCACGCATCTGCGACGACGTTTGGGTCGTTGGATGAAAGCAAGTGCGACAACGTCGAAAGGGCCGGGCGCACCAACTCGAAGCGCGGACGAGGCGTGCCACGACAGAAGTTACCCAGCACCCACGTGGCATTCTTGAGCATGCTAGTCGACACTTCATCCGAGTGGATTTGGTGCAGCAGCGGCAGCATGCCGCCAGCTTCGAGCACGAAGTCCCGCAACACGGAGGAGTCCCCTGCGATATTGCCTGCCCACATCACTTGATCGCAGATTTTATCGTTCATGGACATGACCGGGCGAACGAGCAGCGGGACGGCGTCGCATTCGACGACAAGGCGGGTTTGGTCGGACGTGCCGGATGCCATGTTGGTCAACCCCCACGCGGCTTCGAATTGATGGCGTCAAAGGTGGTCGTGTGCCAAGAACGCTGTGAGCAACGCAGCAACTTCGCGGGTGATCAAGGCTTGACAAGGAGGGACTACGACTCGAGTGAGTTATATACGCAAAGAAGAGGTCGAGAAGTACCATTGGACAGCAGTTTTCGAATGCTCGTAAGGGCTGAAAGCTGCAAATCCACATCAGGGGACTGCACATCATGGATCAGGCGTGTCAACTAGAAAGGAGAGTGAGCATAACGACGGCATGATGGTTGGCACTGACGGTGGGATCGATAGCGCTGCTACCCTCCGCAGCCGTGGAGGTGTTTTGTCGTCTATCACTTTTCGTCGCAGCAGCAGCATCGTCGGTCTCCCCGATGATCCGAAGTTGCTCGTCCTTCTCGGTCGTACGAATGCTGTGCAGCGACAGCTCTTCAAAGTTCATGTGACAATCGCTGTGCTGCATGGTGCTGGTATGGCAGGTTCCTGAAAATGGACAAGTGGCCCGTGGCGAAGGCGTGAATGCGGCGATGTTGCTCCTCGCAGTACATATGTTGTATCAAACTTTCCGTGAAATTTGACCCAAAATTTAGAAATCTAGGCCTGATTTTCATCAAAACGCAAAAAAGTGCTGGTCATAGTTAGTTCGTATACTGGTATTGACTGTGAGATTGAATAAGATATCACGCTCGAAATGTCCCCTCCGGATAAATCATTTCTTTCCGAATACTGCTCCAAACCATGTTTCGTCAGCGGTGGGTACTGCAGGCGGCATGCGGCGCGGCGGCGTTCTCTGCCAGCATCGCCGTGTTTAGCTTGGTCATGGAAACTCAAAATGTCGATGAAGAGGAGGATGAGAATGGCGACAGTGGATCCGCGGAAGGAGCTCCATTACTGACGCATGGAGCGTCGGACACCCCCACCACCACGATTGCTGCAACGTCGTCGACGGTGTCCATGACATCACTCAACACTGCATTGAATGGGACACACCTCTCCATCGTGCAGCGCGCGCGCATCAAATCCTTTTGGGATGAACTTTCGGCCACAGTGTCCGTAGAGTCGGCGATTCCCGTGTCTGTAGCGGTGGCGCAAATGCAACTGTACTCGCAACGATACCCCCAAGAGTTTCCGTTCCCGCAGCTTTTGCATGCCTTGTCCGTGGTCACACGTGCCAACGTGATGACATTGACGTCACCCCCGTCGCCAAGTCCTCCTTTGCCTCCTGCCGCCCCCCGCCGGCGATCGACGTTGAGCCTCGTCGGGAACAAGCTGTTCGAAATGGCCGTTGATACCAAGGGCGGCATGCAGGACGCCATGCACCGTGCTGTCCGTCGATACCTCGAGCGCGCGTTGGATCTCTTTGCCGAACGGCTCAAAGAAGCCATCAAGGACAAGGACATGCCGCTGTACCTTCAGGTCCCATTCACTCCGATTCCAGTCACATTTGACAGGTGCATTGAGTCTAGGCCAATATTGACGTCGCTGTCGACCAGTTTTTGCCCGATATCAAGGTGGAGCTGTCTCGAAAGACCAAGGACTTGTTTGTGGCCACAACAAATTCCAATCCTCCGGCTTCCACCGGCGGCGGCATTCTTCGGCCGCCTCCCGACCATCCACAGGTACATCCCCTCCCGTCGTCATCTCCGCAACTGCCTTCTTCATGTAACACCCTTGTGTGTATGTCCATGATGGATGGTAGACGTTGATGGAGGCATGCCACGAACGCTGGCACCGCACGCGCGCCATGATCTTGTACAATCTGTTTCCATATGATCACTCGATCTGGCGATGCTTTAAGAACCCATATTGGTGGGCTCTCACGTTCATCGGGCTACTTCCAGTCGTTGGGCAAGCGTGGTGGTGCCTCCTCTTTGTTCTGAAAGACAAGAAGAACGAGCACCAACTGTGTCAGTTTATCATTGGCTTCAAAACCACCCAGTTCCTCACGCTCGGGCTTTGGGCGACCTGTCTCGGCATCGTGCGTTTCATCTATTGCACTGTCCATGGCCCCAGTTGCGACATCTGTACGATATTATATACCGATGATGTGCATTTGTTTCTATGTTTGATCCTCTATTTGTATATTATTTTTAGTGTCTACCATCTATGTTTCTCGTTGTACTATGGTTGGGGATTTGTATTAGTGTACGTAAAAGTCCAATTTAAAAACACTTTTTTTTCCGAGACGCGGCATGTAACTCGACTCGTAGGTATCGGATTATAATTCTAGAATATGTTACATGAAGCCAAAATCCAGGCCTATTTGGGAGTTATGAATGCGATATGATTCCTGTTATATTGTGCTTTCGAGTGAATTTTCGTGTTGTGGCGTGGTTTCTCGTTGGAATTTAAATCGATACCTCTGATGAGCTCAAAATTATTAGCCAATCAACACCTTCTCAATGAAATTCAACCAATCAGATCGATTGTGGATCAATTTGGTTGGCGCGATTCGATTGCACCCCCTCCCCAAATTTGTATCAAATCGACAATACTTCATTATCAATTTGTCCAGAAACGGCTTAAAACAAGAGGTCCATTTAAGGTGCACCATTTTAAGCTTAGTCTTTGTATACCCATTTGCATATTTTTTGGGCGGTTAGGTTAAAAACTGCCTTTGTAGGAATTGATTGGCTAATTCGCGTGCACCTTAAATTGGATCTTAAAATGGACTTTTTTCTATCATCTTTGTATTCATTTATAATTTCAATCATCTATTTGTATCGTTGATAGTCCTAAAACGTGACTTTACACGCATGAGTGGTGCATCTACCCGATCGTAGTACTTGCATGTTTTCCAGGTTGTGCAATTCAAAACAGTGCCGGCATTGGCACGCCGGTATCCATCATTCATCTATTTATTCATTTATATCATTCTTCATCTATTTTCTATTTGCAATTGCATGTACCCCATCATGTATCCCGTGTTGGTTCGTCGTCGTATGACAAATACATTCATTCACTCACAGTCCAACATTCCTTGAACTCGATGATTGATTCATAGATGGCCCGCTCTTGTCACCGTGGAATACACTCTTCTTTCTCGGCCAGATCGCGCTGGTATGGGTCGCCTTCTTCTACCTCCCGTACACGGATCGACCGGCGTCCCCCGCGTCCCCTCGCGCGGCTTCGTCTGCTTCTTCGACCTACCAAGACATGTTTGGCCACATCTTGCACATGGACCGCGGCGGGTACCTCATGAAGCTGTGGGGGTACGAAACCATCACGTTTTGCATCACGATGATACTGGCGCTGGTTGTGAATGTGGTTGTGGTGCCGACATGGGAGCGCCAGATGCTCATGTTTTGGATCCGTACGCTGTACGGACTACTGAGCTTTCCATTTCTGCCATTTAAGGTCCCCGTGCTCGAAAATGTGCTCATGCATACCGTACGAATGGGATACGATGCTCAAGGCCGCACGGTGCGGATGCAGTCCCCCGCCGCCGCCCCTGCAACCTAAGTAACGTACCGTGTCCATAGTTTCACTCTGTGAAATTAGTGTGACCTTCTTACGAGTATAATGTACCTATTTAACAAGAAACAACCGAGTATTGGTTTACCATCCAATTTGCAAATACATTAAATATACGAGGAGGGTAGCCAATCAGTGACAAGTAATTTCAGATTGACCAATCGGAGGGGGGTTCATATTGTGTGTTAATCTTTGGTCGAGTAGTTTTAGTTAGTTGGCTATCAAATGCCATCCACGCTTTGATTCAACAATGATATTACTGTATATAAACCATAGTATCCAAGGTTGGTATTACGTGGTATACTGTACTCATAGTATATACTTGTAATATATAGTGATGGGGTCATCTACTGTATACAACATACATGATGTTCCCAAGGATTTGATCATTACTAGTTCTTCATGTTACAAGACGGTGGTGGAGACGACGCTACTACTAGTACTACTACCCAACTCGACTGGATTTGACGGCGGAACCCCGTCTTCGCTACTAGTATTCCTTTCTTGGTCTTGATGTCCTTCACTTGCTAAGGTGGTGTCCGTCGTCGCTGGGGTCTCCGTTTCGATCGCAGTAGCAGCAGTAGTGGCAACCACGTCGAACACATCCGTGTCGATATCGCCGGCTTCGGCACTGGTCCCTTGGCTAGGAGCAGCCGCCACCACAGTAACAGCAGTACTACTACTAGGTGTCGTCGTCGCCGCAGCACTACTACTAGTAGTAGTACTATTACTACTAGGCGTCGTCGTCGTCGCCGCAGCGGCCACTTGGAGACTTCGTCGCAACGTCAAAGCCGCCATGCGTTTTTCTTTCATTTGCTTTCTTCGGGCGAGTTCCGCGCGTTCCTTGTACGTCGGCGCACACAGCTGGTCTTCGGGCGGGATGTCCATGGAGAAGATGGCGCCGTCGTGCTTGTCTTTGAGGTCGTTCTGGATGAGCTCCATCAAACTCTTCTGGCTGCGGACGTACGTTTCAAACGGCCCTCGGCCAGAAAAGAAGTCGACGCCGTCTTTGCCAGTCATCGACTTGCCCCGACCAGTCACTTGGACGTGGGGCTTGCAGTAGATGAACCCCTTTGGCCCCTCTACCCACTTCCACCCGTGCTTTCGCAGCACAGTTTTCATTTGATCTAGGCGAATGTACAGGTTGCGACTTCGCTTTTTCGGTCGAGTTGGTGGTTTGGGGGTGGCAGATGGTATTACTGTGTCTGAAGAGGGAGTGGTTGACGATATCGGGGGGTGGTCGACGAGGTCCAGGTCACCTGAAGAAGGAAGGGGGGGCGGTGGTGATGATGGTGATGATGGGAGCAAGTGCATGGTGGAGGACGTTGGTGGCAGGGTGGTCGATTGAGGAAACAGAATCGACGATGGATGCGATGGATCTAACATGGGAAAGCGAGAGGGGTCTCCCATGGGATGATGCATCCCGGGAAGGTGGTGATGCAGGTGCTCATGAAGGTGCTGTTGTTGTTGCTGTCTAGTTTGCCGTGGCGTAGCCGTTGTAGGACCGTTGGGAGTCGCGGTGTCCCTGTCGACAGCGAGGATGTCGCAAAGCATGTCCAACGGGTAATTCAGCGATCGGTTGCGCTGGTCCAATAGTTCTGCGGCAGACGGAAGTGACGTGGACGACGACGGTGTCGGAGGTTCAGGCATGGGAATGCCGCGGGGCATAACGGCGGCCGCGGCCGCCGCCATGTGCTGTTGCATGTGGTGGTGCTGTCGTTGTTGGTTCAGCTGGTTCTGGTGCATGTGGTTGTTCAGTTGGGCCTGGAAGATCATGCGCTCCACACGTTGCCAGTCTCCTGAGTGGCGCCAGTACATTTCGACGTTCGCTTCGCCAACGAAGACGTTCTGGTTGAACACAGCCGTGCCAACCACTGTGCCTGGCTTGAAGTAGCTCATGCCGGACATGCCCCATTGAGAGAACCAGCCTTCACGACTCAAGCACTGGAAGACTTGCTGGAACGTAGCTCCGCGATGCTGCTGATGTGGGTTCATTCGGCAGGAGGGAAGCGTCGATTGCAAACCTGCCACCTGCAAAACTAAAGGACGCGCCCATTGGCTAAAATACACAAAATACGGTGATGCCATTGGCTATGATTATAAGATAAGTCATGTCCACCAATCCCAGGCCAGGGGGTTTGATTTGAAAAATCAAATCACCAGTACTCCTGTGAAATATAATAAGTAGTGTATGTCCCTTTCGAAGTCAATATTTCGTTTCTGCGCTCGCACTCTATGGACACAGCAACGGCAACACGACCGCAGGCGGCGCCTGCAACTGCCACGACGACGGTCGCCAGAGTCGCCGAGCCAGAAGTTCGACCGGAGGTGTACGTTCTACGACTTGACCCTCGACCACACGTTCGATTTGACGAAGCCACGGCCATCGACAACGAGTTCTTCGGCCGCAAGAAGTCCAAACGTACGTTGGTTTGACCAACAGCGAGCTGTCCTTCTAAGGTGTATGGATTGGTTGTAGGGTGCTGCATATTTCACAAGAAACGAGAGTTTGGCGAAAGCTCCAGTGAAAGTGAGCCCGATTCCGACGACAGCAGCAGCAGTGCCGAGGCAAGGCGGGAAACATGGAAGCAAAAGAAGGAGCGCAATACCAACGCCAATGCGTCTCCAAACAAGAAGAAGCACATGTGCAATGATCGTGAATGTCCACAGGCGTCCACTTAACGCCAACGACATCTTGCAAAAGCACCTTCGCGCACTCGCTTGCATAAAGTAATACAACCAACCCTGCCACCGATGCTGCAGTACACTTGTAAGTTTAACGCTAACGCTAGTATGTTTCTGCAGGTACACGCATACATGTACTCGGGTGTGTAAGCATTGTCATCTCCAACATGTCCTTGTGCCATGATATAGGGTCAACAATCATCATTGAAATTTCACCATTTTCGTTGCAACTTCACCATTTATACCACAAAGTGTCAAAAAAAGCAAACTCAATTTCAAAATTCGCATTATTTTGATATTATTTTTAAATGCACCTTGAACGGATTGCGTATAAAATGTACACCTGTGGTACGACACAGCGTTTCAAACATGATTGCTTGGATTGAGGTGTCCGACACGCGTTTCGAACACATCCATGAGAATATAAAACGAGCCCACGTTACTTGAGTGCATTCGACCAACTAAACCCAGAAGTGCCTTGTCAATATGTTTACGGCGTAAAACGAAGCCCCGTGACTCCATTTCAAGTAAATAGCCACACATCCTTGCGAAACTCTGTCGAAGGACTGATGTGCAGTTGAAGTCTAGCATTTTAATTCTCATATCGAAACCAATGTCAATGTGTTCGATACGTGTTCCGAACGTTGTAATGCGACATTCTGGGTAGTTGAAGTGCCACATGTTGGCGCTGCGTGGTGGTATACGTGCTGGCTGGCCATTGTCGAAAATGGCGCCGACCAAGTTCCCGCTCCCGGCCAACTTCTTTCGATGCCCGATGCTGACTCCGGCCGAGAAAGCAGAGTACCTGCATACGGCGAGTGAGAACGCCATCGACTTGGTACATCCACCATGCACGTCCAGGACATTTGTCATCTCTGCGTAGGTCGCGCACTGCATCATGGACGCCACAGGGCCGCTGCAATGGACCCTCGAGTCCGCATCGACCGACATCAACATCTACATATCCAACGACCCAACCCTTCCGTCCCACGTGTTGTGCTACGCGGGGGTGGTCGAGGTCAAAGCGTCCGTGGACGAAGTCGCGGCGCTGTTCCAAACGCACACCACCGACCTGTACAAGGAATTCCGGCGGCGATTCGCGTCAGATCTGCTGGATGGGCACAACCTGTACACCCTCGCCCGGCCCACGGAAACGCATCCTTTGAAAGCGGTCAACATCAAGTGGACGGTCAATGAAATGCCAGGTGGCGGTCTACTTAGCAACCGTGACTGGTGCTTTCTCGAAGTACGTACTGTAGTATCCTCCCATGAAGCCTCATCCTTCTCCTCACATCATGACAGAGTATGTACGAGTTTGACCAAAATGGCCGGCGTGGATGGGTGCGCGCAGTGTACTCGACCGAGCTGCGCTGCTGCCCGGACCTCCAAGCCAGTCTCGGGGTTGTCCGCGGCACTTTCTTCCGCTCGGGGCACGTCTTCGTCGAGTCCGATCGGCCTGGCTACCTCCGCGGCACGCTCCTCTTCCAAGCGAACATGAATGGCGGGTTCCAGAAAGGTTTGATTCCTTCGTGGGTGGTCAAGGCAGGCGTCCGCCGCCGCATTCGAGGCATCAGCGACATCCACACGTTCCTAAGAGAGAGCCGGCTGAGCCAGGGCCCGCTCGTCGGCGCGTGGGACTTCGTGGACAAGGCCACCCGCCAGCGGTGCTACCTCTGCAGCAAAAAGTTTGGGCCGCTCCTGCGAAAAGCCTGGTGTCGCAAGTGTGGCGAGGTAACAACACTTAACATATGGTTGATGTAGTACTACTTTGCAACTACAGTACGAAGGATGCCGCGATGTATTGTACTTCGAAGTATTTCTTTATCTTATTATATATGACGTCCCCCACGTTACTATTATTAATAGTATTGCTTGGGTCGAATTTCCCATTGGTCAATATATCTGAAAATGCTTGTCGCTGATTGGCTGCATTCCTTTTTTTCGTTTTACTTCATGAAACTTCGCGGTGAGATTTGTGAATCGGTGTTACGAATCGAATCGGGCTGAATAATTGGGAAATTGGTAGGATTTGCTACCAATTTCCCAATTATTCCATACCGGCGGGTATATGTATAATGAATTTATATATGCTTAAGGGTACATGTATAATGAATTTATATATGCTTAACGAACGCTATTACGTTTTGAGGACCCTAATCGTTGCAACATGAGCACGAAATATATGAATATATTCGACCCTTTTCGTGATAATATATGTGTAGGTGGTGTGCCACAGCTGCAGCAGCAAGTGGACCCTCAGCATGTCGGACACCCCCGTTCGCGCGTGCTCGGCATGTGCGCTCGGCCTTGTGGCGCCGCATACGTTCGCGATGGACGCGGTCAAGTCGGCGCCGGCGGCCATGGTGGCCCCCCACCTCCTCCGAAGGGACGGATCAACCGACGCAGGTGACAAGCCCTTGCGCCAGACCATCGGCGATCCCACGGACCCGCACAGGGGCGTCCCGTCCACTCACAGTCAACCAACATACCGCCAACCTCTGGCTTCGCGCATTGAGTTCTACGATATTGGATCACAACATAAGCGAGGGATTAGTGGAAAGAAGCAGCATCAGCAACTCTTGCAAAGCGTCGGGTTTGAAGATGACGCCGTGTATTCGACCCAAGGCCCGATCATGTTGGCGGACGCACGGTTCCACGAACGTGATCACACCGCCCGCGATGATTTCTGGAATAGCTAAAACCTAGATCAGTGTCATCGTTCTTGCTTCAAGACCAGTTAAGTGAGCTGGCAACTAAGAAGGTTGCTTAGAAAATACATACCATCACGTAATGACTGTGGTTCGCATACATTTGGTAAGTGCGTGATCGACCGCTCTTGACCTGGCTAAGGAGAACTTTTAGCACATGTAGACGTGCTGTACAAGTGTAACACTTTAGCATGTCAACAGTATTTTCGCGACTTTTGCGCCAAATTTCAGTAAAATATGGCATTCGTAAGGGCGTCAACATGAATTGCCAAATGGCACAGAATGGATCACTGTACCATGTTTCGTTCTTCCCCATACACTGTAGCACCATGCAGCATGACGATCGCAATATGAACTTGACACCGAAGACACTCGTGGATGTTAACGTTACGAAGAGCTAGAGCTGGACCAAAAAGGGCGAGCAAGTGCTCCGTCGTAGCTCTCGTTCTGATCCAAGACCTGCAGTCCATAAGGTATTGTGAAATGCAGTAGTATTCCGCCCTCACGAGAATAGGCAGTCTGCCGTTCACTAGTCATCGCTAAGACATCTCCCTCTAGCTCCGTCAAAATATGTGTTCATGGATGGATTACTGCTGCTTGGAAACCAATTGTTAGTTATGGTGTACGAAGTATAATTTATCGGTAAATACTCCGTCGAAACGACGACTTTTAGTGTTTGGTCATCGTCGAACGTCCCTTATTTTGTGATTTACTACTAGTACTACTAACGTTAGTACTACTACGTCAGTACATATGTACAATGTGGTGTATTTATATTTACGCCACCATGGTCGAAAACTCGGACCACTGACTAAAGTCGACCTTGATCATGTCGTGGTGATGTGACATCGTCGAAGAGGGGGGTGAAGTTGCGTACACCGCGCCGTCCTTCGCCCCTCCACCTCCTCCAATCGTCGTGTCGCTGTACCTCGAAAACCCATCGTCGTCCTCTTCAACCTCGTCACCCCGACTACACTCGCCAATACTGCGGGGCCACGTGGGCACTGGTGGTATTATGTCCTGTACCCGTCGCCTTCGGCGTGGCGTTGCTTGGGGCGTCGCTGCTTGTGGGGTGTGGGTCTCATGGGGCGTTCGGGGGGTCGTTCGCAGCCTCGCGCCCGACACACTCGACACCTCAGACGCTCTTGACGTCATGGACGCCGTCTCGTCCATGTCGCTCGACTGTCGGGGCGTAAGCGCTGCAAAGGTACTCGTTCCCCGGCGAAGCACCCCGCGCGACGCGAGCGATGACGACGACGACGGCGCGATGTACTTTAAGGACACGGCGCACGGAGAACACACGCGGACGTTGGAGTGGATGCTCGCGACCTTGATCGCCCACACCTTGCTACATCTGGCGCACACGACTTCGCCACACTTTCGACACCGATGTTTGTGCACCAACAACAATCCGAATTTGGTGCGACATACGTGGCACTTGCTGCGGGACTGCCACGTCACGAGCTGGTGCTCGGCCAAGAACGTCACCTGGCTCAGCCGGTGGGCTCGTAGCTTGTGGTCTACGTCTCGCATGTCCCGCTTCCGAGCCGCCACTTCGATGGACGCAAACAAGTCGGTCAGGGTGCCTCGAAAGTCGATCTGTTGCAGCTGCGTCACGTCCAAGTACCCAGGGAAGTCGCGGCTCTCGGCAAACACGAAGCCGGACCGGTGGTAGTTGGCGCGCACAAAACCGAGGGATGGTTTCAAATCTGGACAACAGTGCAGCTCCACCGACGACAGCGCGCGCACCCACCCGCGGCGGCCGTCGCCCAGCACAATCGGGGCATGGGACTAAATCAAAAGCCCATCAAACACGACCTCTTATGATATGCTGGAGATTGCAAGCGTGAGGGGGGGGGTAGCACCTCTAAAAAGCACCAGTCGCGGTTCTTGACAAAGCACACGTCCTTGTTCTTGATGAGTCCGGGGAGTTCGTTCACGGTCCAGTGGACCCCCACGTACTGCCCCCCGACGGTGTCCCCTTGAGGAGGAGATTCCAAGCAATACAATCGAACCCCATCCAGCGCCTCCATGTGGAACGCGTGGCAGTGTTCCCGGTAGGCGGCGGGGTCGTCCAGCCCGGCAGGGTTGAACATATCTGCCACTTCGGCTAACGTTCCTTGCACCTGAGTAGTCCACAGCCACGATCGAGTGCCAGGAGGGGCGTTTGGATCGGTCGCCTTGTACGTGACCAAGTCACAGTCGTTGGCTTCCACCGTCCATTCAAGCGGCCCAGTGCCATCGATTGTGGCGTAATCCACCTACATATATATACATACATGATGGAACGGTCAGCGACTTGGTGTTTATATATTTGTCGTTGATGTGACATGCTGGAGGATGGCAGGACGTACAACATCCATGCACATGCTGTCGGCTAGAAAGAGGAGGTGCTTGTTTTCGTCGGGGGACAATGGAGGACATTTGAAGTATTTGGGTGGCAGAGGCAATTTGTCAAAGTACGATAGCTTCTTGACGGCCATGTTGACCTGGTACGTATATATGTAGTAGAGCACCAATTCCGAAGTGAACGATTCGTTCGATGGCCACGAGTGTTGTTGTTTCGAACTTGTAAATGACAGGCGAAATCGGTGTACTTTGGTGCAAAGTGCATTGTCATTGGTCACAATACTAGACATCGAGTGCAAACACATGTTCTAATAGGTTGGTGCCTGTGGCATTCTCGCTGTATATATATGTACAAGCTACAGTACAATTGTACCAACCAGATCATGCACCTCACAATCGCTTATAGCCGACGCCAATGTACTGTTCATAGCCCCAGCAACATACTTGTTGCTTGCGGTGAAGTGCCTGCAACGATGGGGCCATTTTGATGAAACAGAAGTCGACGTCGTAAACTCATTTGGGCTCGGGCCAGATTCGGGGCAAGCCGGAACGAGCTTGTACCAACTACGAAGGTGATTGCCAACACAGCTACATTCAGAGCTGTGCATCAATAAGCCGAAGGACTGCATACAGTATCGGCGGGTATCCTGCCGGTAAGTTAAGTTGAAATCACAGGTGTGTTGACCGTAAGCTAATCAGCGGATGCCAACCTGCCTGTTAGTTACTCTGGTACATAGTACATCTCGTAAGCTGTTGGTTTGATTCATAGACCGTTCCATGTCGTCCTAAACGCTGAACGTCATTTCACTCTCTGCGTCAGTATGGCGACCTTCTCGTCGACTGGTCTCGAACTGACCATCCACAAGCTCCATCGAAAAAGAGACCAATTGAGGTGTCACTCATTCTAAGAAAGTAAAAGTACTATGTTAAACTTGTGTTTCCTATGTATTTATAAGTATTAAGCTTAATATTGCATATAATATCTGAAATATGGAGCTAGTCACACCCTGAATATGCCGAAAGTAGTGGCGGCGCGAGTTTTGAGCATTTGGTCGCGACAGGCATTACATGTAAAAATGTCAAGTTTTGCGATCCAAAGTGCTGGAATGAAGTGACAATATAATCGGGCGCCGCGGTACATGCTGTTGGGCCATAGCTCAATTGCCGTCCATAATGACATACCAACAACCAAGTGACGACGACCGGTCGTCAGTTCCAGAGCTAGCGTTTCGAAGTCCGCAATTGACACCAGCCCAAGTGGAACACTTCCAAGCGCTCGCCGATGCGACCGTGGCCAAATTGGTATGGTACATCCAACTATACTACATGTACCTATCAAGACTGGTGGCTTATTGGTGTGTTAATGAACAGGTGCGCCACTCAGAGTTACAAGACTCGTCCATTTCCTGGGTTCGAGCCAAGAGGACAGTCGACGGAGTCCAAATGTTCAAAGGCACCGACGCCCAAGCTCCGTTGGGCACTCGGACAGAAGCGTGGACGACCGAGTTGTTCGGTTCAGTTGACAACGTAGCTGGTATGTTCAAGGCGGACGTTGCCGACGCAGACAACTTCCGCGCATGCCACGCCCCGCATCAATTCCAAGCGGTGGACGGTCGACGCCTGTACTGCCTGGACAACACGCCACGTCAGTACATTGGTGTACACTACGTCGTGACGGAGCTTCCGTGTGTGTTGCCCTTCAAACGGCAATCGATTGTCAAGTTTAGGGATTGGTGCTTCCTCGAGGTACCACAACACATTAGGCTCCCAAATCGAACATTGAGTGGCTGTGACACTGTTTGGTGTGTAGACGCACGCGCACTTCAACTTGGACGACGGCCGACAGGGTTGGGTCCGAGCATTTGCGTCGGTGGCGCTGTCTTGTTGCCCGGACGTTGGAGTTGCCATGGACGTCGTTCGCGGGGTCATCCATTTCGGCGGGTTTGTATTTATCGCCAGCTCAACCCGACCGGATTACATTCACGTGACACAAGTGCAGCAACTCGACTTTAACGGCAAACTGCACAACAATCCCCTCGGCGATCTGTTGGTCAAACTCGACTTTCAACGACGTGCCAAGGCTATGGCCCAGCTGGACGGGTTACTACGGGGCTACCGACTTGGCTTAACCCCCCTCCCGCCCGTCCTAGCGGCTACCCCTCGCCACTTCGGCCACACTTGCGCCCACTGCCGCGCCAAGTTTGGACTGCTCGTGCCGAGCGACCTCTGTCGTAAATGCGGGCTCGTCCTGTGCGTGAAATGCACCAGAGTGTGGACATTACGAGGTCGAGGTGGAGGCCCTGCCGTGGCCGTTCGAGTATGCAAAATCTGCTCCCTCGGTAGACATAGTAGGCCGGTTGCAGCTACCCCAACGAGCGGAGTACATCGCATCCGAAGCCTAAGTGTCGTGGAAGGCTCATACAAACCCGCCGACGACGGGGTGGGTGTATTTATCAAAGCAACGCCAACAGCAGCAGCCGACAAGAATTGCGTTCGATCGTCTGGTCGACCGAGTGGAGCGACTACCGTCCGGCTATCAGCGGATCAGAACAGTTGCTGGTCCCCACAACGAAGGTCCCTGGACGCCACCACCCAACGTAGATGGGCCCAACAAAGCACCGACCTCATTTGCCTATGGCATCACCGTTTCGACGCACCTGTTTAGATAGATTGGACCTAGAATTCTGCACATAATAATAATATTGTACTGCATGTGGAACATCACATTGACTTGTACAGTGACATCTCTTGCGCATGTTATCCTATCGTCAAACAACGGCGTAAATATAAGGGTACAGAAGCAGCCCAAGGTGTTGGAGGCCCACGTGCAGTCAGTCGTTTAGGGGGGCGAAGGCGACATAATAAGGGTGCAGAGGGCCACGATGCCACCCAGAACCAGCCCAAACACATTGCCCCACACGACGATCCACGTTAAATGCGGCGCGACGAGGGTTTGCAGCATTGCTGCCACTTCCGCCGGCTCGAGTCTCATTGCCCGTGTATGGAGGAAGTTGCCGATCTCTTGCGAAAGGCGCTGCAGGACTACATCTTCCGACGACGCCCCCGTCACAGCTTGGATTCGCGACAGTAACGATGGGTGCTACAAACAAAGGGCAATGGGTCCATTTAGTATTATCAATACCATGACAAAAAAGACCAGAACAACCCCCCCCCCTAACCTGTTGATCCCACTCAGCCGCGAGGGCGATTACCAACGGTCTGATCTTCGGTACCATGGGTTCGATCCCACCAAACATGCCCGCAAACGAATTCAACACTGCACCTGTTGCCATCTTAAGCCCTTGTAAATACTAGTGATTCGCTCGATATACTGTATATATATCGTACCGCTGGGCGTGGATGCGACACTGGTAAACGCATTCACAAGTGCAATGTGGGAATCGGGTTGGTCCAGACGTGACCGGACGGTGGCGGTGACGGCGCCTTGCCTCGAGTCAAACGACTTTGCGTACCCTGCCAACGTCGTCGGGGAGAAGAACGTGTGGACCATCTACGTAACGTTAAGCAGCTTTAAACATGTCCTGTGAATGCGAAAATAATGCAGCATATGTACGAGGCGCTGCAGCTGAATGGCAATCTCTTTCGCCTGTCGATGGAACACACCAGCACCGACGCACCCGCGCACGCGTCGAAAGAGTAAATGCACAAACAGCGCGTTCATCATGCCAGCTCCAAGTCCACAGCCGCCTACTAGCGCTAGTGTTTTGCCGACGAGGGTGTAGTCCCCGCTGCAACCGAGTATGACGAGTCCAGCCAGTGCCACGAGCATACAAAACAGGTTGGTGAGGTCGCCACAAGTCAGCCGCGGCAGACGAAACGCAACTGTGTCATGGTGGTGGAGTGGCTTTCGCCCAGAGGTGGTCTGGAAGAGCAAGCTCTCAGCTTTGGCGGGCGAGAACATTTTTGGACGTTGTAGCAACGATGACGAGGCGCATCGTGGTTGAATATAACAGTGCGTCGGTTCGCGAACCAATCACGTGCCGCCGTCCTCGCTCCGTCCTCAGACACCATAACACAAAGACAATTGAAACCAGTGCAGCAGCTACTCCACGCAGGTAGATACTTGTCGGTTACACTTGTGTGCGCATTACTGTATTATTCCTGATGGTACCTTATGGTGGCGTGAAGCGAGCCAGATCGTAGCACTGGTCACTTTCAACCACACGAACCGGCTACAGCCCAACTCAAGCATTTCATCCCTATGGCTTCTTGGACGAACGTTAGGAAGACTTACATGTGCGTTTCTATGGAGCGTACACTACTTCACGTTCATACCGTGCGGCATGAAACATGACCCTGCGACGTGCGCGGGGGAGAATCTCTCCTTGCCCTCTACCGCAATCAACAAATTAGTTGCAACCTTTGTCCCAGGCGTATCAGCTATGCGTTAAATATGATTAGACGGTGTTTTTATGCCTCTGTCGGCAAGAGTGCTGGTAATTCTCCTTAAAACGCATTTATCACGCGACGTTAAATGGTTTAAACGTGAATACCCCAGCCCGGTATGTCCCATTGTTGCACCCACTTATTCTGAGTGTCGACGGCGCACGAACAACCTTTCTACTGGTATTCCATCATGAGCCTGCCCGCCATTGAACTCGCCGAGCGGTCTGCGTGGACGGCGCTGCATGCCCTCCTGCTCGAATACCCCTCCAGCGCCGAAGAGTGCGACGACTACGGGATGCTGCCGCTTCACTGGTCATGCACGGACCCGTCTGTCACGGCCGCGGTCGTCCAGACGCTCCTAGATTTGCATCCAACCGGAGCTCAAACCAAGAACACAGCGGGCCTGTTGCCACTCCACATCGCCGTGAAAGCCGAGATCGACGTTCCTATCGTCGACATGATCCTTCAGGCATACCCAGCGGCCTTGAACGTGCGCACTCCCCACGGCGACACGCCCGGCGACCTCGCGCGCAAACTGGCGAGTTCGCCCGAGCTCTGCGACGTCCTCCACATCAACTACGACGCCCCGTGCCGCATCTCAATGGAGTCTGTCGTGTCCAAATCTCGCTCGAGCAGTTGCAGCTTTGGCGAGTCCCAATATGGAGGCAGCACGATGTCCAACGTGCACTTGCCTCCCCGGTGGCAGCACGAGAAAGCATGCCATGTGTGCCAAGCCAAGTTCGGTCCGTTTCGGTCCCGCCATCATTGCCGCGGCTGCGGCGTATCCGTGTGCAACGCGCACTCTCGCGGTCGCATGGCGCTGCCCAACCTCGGCCTGCAGTCGCTGCAGCGGTACGTACGTGGTTGGTTCCACTTGAACAAAGCATGCTACTACAGTACCCCCCCCATCCATCAGACGCTCACGCGTGGACATGTCTAGTGTGTGCGCGGCGTGCTACGAAGAGTTCAACCCGGACGGACCCGGAGTCGGCTCTCTCACGCTCACGTCGAGCCGAAATGTCCGCCGCATTCGATCGCAGACCGAGGACTTCCTCAAATCTTCCTCATCTAGCAGTCGAAGCATCTTGGCACACAAGGCCGCGTTCTTGCTGCAGCATCCTAGGCAACCCGAGGCCGACCGCGCATCCGACGCCACCCGCCCGTCGAGGTACTAGCTTTTCACTAGAACGGTCTATTGTTTGGGAGCAAGTTGCTAATGTGGACCAATCATGTGTGGCACCAGTGAGACAGATGTACGGAATGCCTAGGGGGACGGACATCCACTTGTCACATCCCCTTGTCACATATATGCATTTTGTGTATTTGGTACATTTGCTTGGTACTTCATCGATATATATATATATATATATATTCGTGCATGCTGGATAATTGTATAGTCGGGTATTATATAAGTGTCTTCTTGCATGTGTTGGTGGTTTGGTTTTTGAGTTTCATTGGTTGCTTGGACATTTGGAGACGAAAATGAAAGTTCATTTATTATTGTAAATATTCGAACTAAACTTCCACCATTCGCGTGGTTATCATATGGAATAATCACGCTGAAGATCGGATTGGTTGAATATACTGGTCCTTTCTGTAAAACGAGCCAATCAAATCCACTCAAAATTGGATTAGCCAATCATCGCTTCGATTCTTCGTGATTCGATGGGGTCTGGACATTTGTATCGAATCATCCACAATATCATATTTGTTTGGTTTAAATAGCTTTGATGGGTTGAATCATAGAACGTCGTCCGAGTCGTCGCACGACATTGACTTGTTGACGGAATCGATCCACACGTTGAACCGTACCAAGGCGATGTTGCAGGAGCAGTTGCTAGCAACGCATATCGAAGGCCAGCAACGTTCCCAGCAACAACACACTGAATATTGGCCGCAGGTACTCTTCGCTGGGGCTGCCACGTCATGGCTTGTTCACCATGAAATGATATGAATGTAGGCCCAGCATGCCTCTGGCACCGTAGTGGACGTTGCGCAAACCCAACATTTGCTTGGTACTGCATCGATTCATATATATATACATTCGTGCATGCTGGATAATTGTATATATGTCGACGTATTCGTTCACTTAAAAAGTGTATATTTGGAGCTAAATGAAGGATCAACATATAGGGGTAGCGCTGGCCGATAAAGGAAGCACGGCGGCAGCGATAGACGCGCTGCGCAAGAGTTTGGCGAACCAGCCCACGGCCGGGGCCTGGTATGATTTGGGGAGGTTGCTACATGCGATAGAGAACGAAGACGCTGCCGAAGATGCGTTGAGAAAGGTTAGTATGGTATTTTGTTTGGACGATATATTGGGCATGATTTCACACTTGAGAGTCAGAGCTTTCGAATCTATTTGATCGTATTTAAGCTTGTACACACTATACTATACAAAGATTAGTATATATGTGGTTTTGCCCAATGCGGACGGGTCAAACGTTTGGATTGGCAGAATATATTCGAGATGACGTGATTTGATTGGCCCAGGAGGTTCTTGAATCGATTCTCCAAACACATTGGATGATTCTGCTGAAAGCTCCAGTTTCGAATCGATTTGACATATATATATATAGTATTTTTGAGGGCCAACTAACTTTTGCGGTGGATTGATGATGTTAACGTTATTTCTAGGCGTTGGCGATGAGTTTGGACGAGTCGAAGCAAAAGATATTGACAATGCTTGGCAAGGTCCTGTACGCAAAAGGTGACTCGAGCGCGGCGCTAGATGTGTTTCAGCAAGCCCTGGGGGACTTTTCCCATGCGGCGGACGAAAGCAGCGACGAGGAGGCCGTGGGATCTGCGACAGCGGAATTCTAATTCCCTTTCCCAACCCCCCCTTTCTTTGACTTTGCATCTGTACTGTATCGCATATACTAGTACACCGGATGATGGTTTCACCGTGCAACGCTGCACCTTGCAATGTGAATTCATCAACACATAAAAGTTAAGCTAGGACACACTATACTATAGAATGTTCAATGTATAGGATTTCTCTACAGTAGTACCTCGAAGTAGTACAGTATGTATGGCAGGGCATATCCGGTTTATGGTTCCACGATTCCGGATAAATAATTCCATCATATGACGGGGCGGTTTGTTGATGCGCACTGCCATTTGCAGGACCCGCGGCTGCGGACGTCTCTTCCAGAGGTCTTGCGCCGCGCGTCCGAGCATGGCTTGACCCACATATGCACGTGTTCATGCAATGAAGATGAATGGAACAACTTCCCATCCCTCGTCCAGGACATAGCGTCGCCGACACCTAAGATCGTCCCGGCATTTGGGTTGCATCCGTGGTACGCCGGCGATGCATCGCCATCGTATTTGGACTCCCTCCGAACCACACTCCAACGATACCCCTCTGCACTGGTATACCTACATGGAGTAGCTATCTACGTCGAGAAACGCTTCACTTTGTGGCGACCTCGTTCTGACCAACTTGTCATGCAGGTGGGCGAAATCGGGTTATGCAAGTCACGGCGCGGCAAACAAGTCCCACTCCATGTCCAAGAGCAGCGATGCCGCGAACAACTAGAACTATCCGAACAACTCGGACGTCCTGTGGTCCTTCATTGCGTGGCAGCGCACGGGAAGCTCTTCGACCTGCTGGCCGCCGCCCCATCGTTGCCGCATGCCATTTTACATGCCTACTCCGGGTCTGCGGACATGGTCAAAGCATTCACGAAGCTGCCTTTCCCCGTTTACGTGTCCTTCACAGCCAGACAATGTGTAGACATGGTGCAGTCTGATAAACTCCGCTCCACATTTGCCGCCGTGCCATCGAGTCGGCTGCTTCTCGAGACCGACGCCCCAGACCAACGGCCATCGGTGCTTGGCTCATCCGCCATGGCTGTGTTGCTGGATCTTGAACTGAACGACCCCGTGGCCGTGAAAATGGCCGTGGAAGTCGTGGCGGAATCCACCGGGAAGTCCGCCGATGTGGTTGCAGCTCAAGTGTATGCCAACGCTATCGACGCATTTTGGGTTGAGAATACCGGTATATAACAATATTAACCGAAATATAGGATAATATTTATTCAGTTACCATGTTGTTCTATGACTCGCGAAACACGCAGTCGTCGATACTGCCCTCTCCAGCGCGGTACATAGATTGCTGGGTGATTGAAATAGGTTCTGCCATTGAACATCATTGTGAAAGTGTAAGGACAATATGGGTGTAAATGCGAGCTTCCTGTAGTACGGAAAGTAACTAAGTGAACTTACTATTGCGAAGTGTTTTCCCTGCCAAAAGTTAAAGTCCATATGTACACATTTAGAACAGAGCAATCGAATACAAAGTCGACTTGCACCAAAACTCGTCTCCTTCGTTCATCCTCGCTTATGTCACCGAGGAGGGCTACGTGCAGCCTTTTGGGGGCTGAATGCGGCTGCCTTCATTGGCTCACCATTTCCCGATTGCACTTGAGTGTTGATGCATCGATCTCCACAGTCGAGCCATGAACAGCATTCCCCAGCACGTCCAATACGTACGCCTCCACAGCCAGTCAATTTTGTCTAGCGGCACCCATCAACGCCATTTTGAGGCGGTTGATCCAGTTTTGGATAATGGATGTGAAGAAAAATATCACACTTCCAAATGCCCATTTCCACAACTAAACGCAAAGCCCCCGTTGGTTGTAGTACATTCACTGTTGTGAGCATGGGGATAGCGAACAATGTCAAGGTGGCCATATCGTGCCTCTAGCTGCATTGCCCTAGCTGCGCATCTGTGTAACAGTGAGTGAACGACAACGTCTATATTGCAACATGCCCTCAGAGGTAGAAGGTGGTTTCGAGTAATTAATATAGCAAACGTACCACACCGGAAACTTTACAGAACGAGGCAAGCAATGCACAGCCACAGGCAGTACCGAATCTTTTCTAAAATAGATTCCAACGACGCCACCATATCATCTTCCATCGTACTCGCCAAGTGCACTTTCGTATCGCCCCCAAGTCGGTGGGAGACAAGAAATTGCACAATGTTTCTAACCGTTATGAGCTGCTACTCCAGCACAGTGACTGTACGACCGACACGATGGATGAAGGCGTTCGCTATGGCCATCTGGAGGTTGTCCAATGGTTAAAAACCCATCGGACCGAAGGTTGTACGCTTTGGGCAATGCACCACGCAGCCATGAATGCAGGGGACATTTGAAGGTTGTGAAGTCGCTTCATGCAAATAGTGACGAAGGGTGCTCCAACTTGGCGCTGGAATGGATGGCCAAGAACGCTGGCCATTTGAACGTTGTGAAATATCTTGTCACATGACTGGGGGGAATGTTGAAGTGGTGTTTCCTTACTCCAAATTGCTATTGTAATGACGTTACATTAATGCAGTTCTCAAGACTTGGAATGATTTCGAAATTTGTGTTAGTGGAAACTGAACTAACAACTGTGAACGAGTGAAAATGTCCATAACGTTAGGCTACAAACAGTGTAGTTTTCGTATACTTTATGCGAAGCGAGTGAAACACGACAATAAAACGGTGGCGTTCCTGAGGCCATTTGGACAAGTCTTCGACTGCTGGAAATACGATTGAAGTGTGTGGTAGAGCACGTCCAGGTACTAGCCAGAGATGCTAAGTAACCTTCAGGCATTTACCGGATCCTTCAACTTGTGTTTTCGTCATATGTAGCCGTTCAGCGTTGCAATCAATCCTTTGAATGGAAACGAAAGCCGATTTGATTCATCTCATCCTTGACTAGAATGTTGAAGTCCCAACTAAAAAGCCTCTCGCACTGGTTGTTTTGCAAGTGGGAGACCAAGGTCATTATTACCGCTAAGTAACAGTAGTATATCGACGCTGGGTAACAAACACTGAGGCTACACTAAACGGATCGGTAGTCGAATGTTATGTATATAATACTTTCTATGGGAGGACATATAGAAAATGGAGCAGGAGGTTTTAAGACGGCATCTTTCGTGTACTTCAAGCGTGACGAGGTTGAGCTATTCCTTGCCATAGGTGGTTCCGTACGTGGCATTCACAAACGCCGTAGACAGCGCCACGTCCAAGCTGGCAACGATGGCTTTGCTTTGAAACCGATAAATTTCTACCCGCACGCGGCCGATTTGGGGCGTGTCGACCGCCAGTTGCACCGCTTCGAACGACTTGGCTACGTCCATGTCGAGCGCGTCCTGGCGTTTGGGGCTGGGTGTGTACGCCACGCATTGCGACGTCGCTACGATAGAGACTCAGATAATCGCGATAACGTCAAGATGATGGTATTTCACGATGACATACATACCCCAACGACACGTGCGTTCAAAGTCCCACACGGCCACGTCCACAACAATGCAGTTGGTGGCCGTCGTAGTAAACGCAAGCGTTCGAATCGACAAGTTGCCGCTGCTGCCTTCATTCAACACGCGACTTCGGTCCCGCAATGCTCCCTGAATGCTCAGCACACAATCTCGTTGTTAGTAGAATTCTTGTTCTGTTTTGCATTTGCCAACAACATGGATGTGTCGTGCTGGAATTGCATGGTACCACAGAAAAATGTAGCATCACTCAATCCACCGTGGCTTGCGAGGTGGTTTAATAACTATCGAGAAAATGCGACGAAGGACTACACGATACCTGTGGAACCAAGAGCGACGCAACGGTTTCTGTGGCCCCAATGGGCAAATCTGACGAAAAGTCCACGAGGTACCCTTCATAATCCCACACGACTTGGTCAAACGAGCGCAGGGACACGGCCACGGTGTATCCATGCAAGCCAAAACACGGATCAATGTCATCTTGAAGCGTCGTCACCACCCGAGAAAGCAGCGCCGACGCGACAAGAGGAATTGAGTGAATTGCATATAGACTACACGTAAATATGTAGTCAAGCAGCAGTCAGAGTCAACTGAATTGTGTACTTAGCGGTAAGTATGTACATACATACCTATGCACTTGAAGTCCATCTTTCCACACCACCGCCACGAGGCTGGGCCAGCAGCTGCGGCTACCGCCTGCTACCGCGTCGTAGTGGGTGTACTGATACACACACAACGCGGTGCCGTCCGTGGTTGTGTCCACGAGCCGCCATCCTACTCGCATATCATGGTCAAATAAGTCTGCAGTGTTTGTTTTTAATTGTTATAGTACCCGAGAACTTGAGTGTCATCCTCGAGGTCACTTCGGTGGATGGATTCACGCGCCTCGAATGTGCTGCAGACTCGAACGACACGACTTGTCGCAACGATCCAGTAATATCTTCCAGCGGCATCGTGTACGTGGTCAGTGCCAGAAATAGGCTTGCGGGATGGTTGTTCCTAGTTTGGTCGGTAGTGCACCACGTCACTGTAGAGCCAAGGGCGTGCACTGTTTGGACGACATCCAAGGCCAGGAACGCCTGACGAAACACATGGAGCACGGCGCGGTCGGCCGCTCGGTTGATCTTTAGGTTGAGTGCGTCTCGCTTGGTTGCGGTCGTCTTCACGACAGTCGACGTCGGCTTTGGCTTTGATATCGCAACGTGGTTGTTGTTGTTAATTGAAGATACCCCATGGGCGCAGGTTACAGGTAGCTTTCGTGTACTTGTCGACCGGACTTTGGCCGGTTGTCCGGAGGTTACGCGCTTCATCTCGCCCGCCGTTTCACAAGTGAGTGCAGTACCGATTTCGAATTGGAGTTTTTTACACTTTTGTGCATCTGAAACAATATTGCAACTCCTTCAAATAACAATGGTACAAAAACCGAGCACAGGGTTGGATGTCATGATGTACCTGTGTCAATTGGTACATAATATTTATATACATAATACTTACATATATAATACTGATATATATAATACTTATATATATAATACTTATATATATATATATATATGTAACCGTGGGGACGGATGGTCTAGGTACAGCCGAGACATGCTGATCCAGCTCGTGTTGGGCACGGACATGGCCAAGCACTCGTCCGATATTCAAGCGCATGAGGAATACAAAGGAACCAGTTTGTCACAATGGTGTTACATGCCAACGACTTGAAAATGTGCCCCCTCCGTCGTATTCACGAGCGTGACTTGTTTAACTGTAGTTCATGCAACAGACCACGCATCTTTCCATTTCGAGTCTTCCTTGCTGAAACTCCAAATATGTATACCATCATATGTCGTGCTGACATTCAAATGTCGACTCGTTCGTTTTATTCCGCGCTCACTTTAACTTTAGAGAAGTACTGCACGTTTAGCTTCTTATAGATTGGTACATTCGAGTGCTCTGTAAATAGCTTATTGCATCCTGTATACGTGCTACTACTTCTATTCAATCCTCCTACGATGTTCTTCTATTCACACACGTTTCTGCCCCCTACGGCGTCGTGGCCGTCGTAGGTCCCCCTTCCCCCCCCCCTTTGTTGGTTTCTTTGGTTTCTTTCACCACGAGCTCCAACTTGTGCGACCCGCCGCCGTCCGAGTCGGTTTGCGACACGGGCGCCCGTGTCCCGCCGTCCCCTTCCCGCACCATTGACAGCCCCCGAGACGACCCCCCCGACGTCTTGTGTGACAGCAGGCCGGACGCCACGTTCGCATCCTGCTGCAGGTCCTTGACTACACCCTTGATCTGCGAGTGCTTGAAGTTGTCTTCCCGCTGGTTCCACCACTCGCGGTTGTCCAGAAGTGTCGAGTACCCGTCTGCCTGCACCTGGTCCGAGATGTTGCTCCACACGTGAAACAACGGGCTCACGACAAAGTCGGCGAACCCGAGCTGCATCTTCTTCAGAGCTAAGGTCGTGCGGTCCATAAAGGGCGACACGACCAGCCCTAGCGTCTTCTCCTTGTCCCCCTGGCCGAAAAACTCGTCCACAACTCGATCGGTCCACCGCAGCATCGTCATGCGTGTCTTGGCCGGGTTCGACACATCCGACGTATGGATGATCATCTTCATGAGCATTTTCTTGTCGCTGTACGAGCCCCATTAGCACGGTCACAATAATCATGACAATCAAATGTCAATTGTCCAATAGAGAGTTGCTCGTATGTTTGTATGTACCCGAGAGTTTTGATCTCCATGCGTTCGTCCAGCGATTGCGGCATGATATTGGCCTTGAACAACGCCACGTCTTCAAAGTGCTTGGCCATGTCCGTGCCCAACACGAGCTGGATCAGCATGTCTCGGCTGTACCTAGACCATCCGTCCCCACGGTTACATATATATATATAAGTATTATATATATAAGTATTATATATGTAAGTATTATGTATATAAATATTATGTATAAAAGTATTATGTATAAAAGTATTATATATAAAATTATTATACATAAAAATATTGTATATAAATGTTATATATACATGTATAGACAAACAAAAGCAGCCACACAACACTGCATACGAGGTGGTGCTCGCAAATGAACATTGCGAGATGAAGTGTCGTACTTGTAATCGTCGAGATTGAGCTTGGCAAACAGCATGCAGCCGGCACTCTTCATGGTCAAAAACGCTTGCGCGACATGAAAGTTTTCCAGCACCGCTGTGTCATTGTAGCGAATCGCCAACTCGGACCCTACAAATATAATCAACTATCAACCACTACAATAATTCCTGTGGGTGGACGATCGTTATCCTCATATACAAACTAATTGGTAGTAGTCATGTTATTAGTTGATGCGTCACAGTCACCATAAGAAATATCATTTCAATAGAAGCTATCACCATCCGTACCCGAGGCAATATGAAACCCGTTGTTGAACCCGTCGTGTTTGTAGTCGTGTATGCACGCAGCCAACAGCACGAGCGTTCGATCCAGCGGCCGCAAGAAGGGCGAGATGGTATTTCGCGTGGAAAAGTAGTTGGATGTTTGCATCACGTCCGCTGCGTGCATGGCGTTGTGGTACGGGTTCACCATGATATACCCTTGCTGGATCTCGATGAGAAACACCGCAAGTGTGTGCGCGTCTAAGAGCAAATGCTCCTCTACCAAATCCCGCAGCAAAAAGTACCCCATATGTGTCAACGCATTGCCTTTGGTCACCTCTATAGTCAGTCATCCAGTTGATCAGAAATCCTATGTCGGGGGTTCGGGATTTCGGAGTTTCGGGGTTCCGGGGTTCGGGGTTATGGAAAATGTATATGGAAGGAAATCATTTCATGTACAGTACCTTGGAGGCGAAACACATCAAAGTCCCAGTCGGCCACTGTGGTCATGAGGTCGTTAAAGTGACTTCGGGCTGACTCGGTGAGGGGAAATAGCTCGTCGGTGATGCCCGAGTTTTCTTTCCGGAGGCTGCCGATGCCGCCTCCTCCCGGGCGTCCGGCCTTGCCGTCGTCACCGCCCCCGACGTCCGTGGCGGCTGGCGACGGCGTTACAGCGGACGCGTCGTTCTTTCGGAGGAGCCCGTCTCGGAGCCAGTCTTGCGTGTCTTTATCGATGTTTTGACCATTCAGCATGTGCTCTCCGGCGTCGTACAATTTGTTGTTCTTGATGCAGTAGATAGCATAGTCGATCTCGTTTTGCACGCTCGGTTTGATCGACGGTTGGTACCGTAGCTCATACAACGTCCCGAGCACGGTTTCGATGGGGGTTTGGAGGGTGCTGCCGCGATGCGCGTGCTTGAGGGCTGCGGACCGCTGCTTGATGCGCTCGAAGACGACGACGATGCGGAAGATGCGAAGGATCGGGCGCATGCGGAGCAGCGTCGCGAGGGCGGCTCCCGTGCCGTTGGCCGACGTGAAGCTCCACAGACTTAGGACCAACGTCCCGACCACGACCACTGCGTCAAAGCAGTTCCAGAAACTCAAGAGCATGACAAACCCAAACCCAAAGAGCCGCAAGAGTAATTCCACTGTCAGCACTGAGCTCACGACGAGGTCCACCAAGTCAAACTCGTCTTGATATACCTTGAGCTGCGACTCGAACGTCATTTGCACTAGCTACATGGGGGTAGGTGGGTTATATCAGTCGAATCCAAGACACAAAACGCGGGTACCACAAAGATGCCGTAGCAAATGACAATTGATATGAAAAACAGCTCGACTTTGATGTGTGTGACGAACGCCCCCACGGCATTCCGAGGCCTAGGAATGGATATGAAACATATGCAAAATGCCAGTGGACGTACTGGTCCAGAGCTTTGGCGGCGCGGTGGCGCTGGCGGAAGTTGCGGCGGGCGTTTGGGGGTAACTCAACGACGCTGCGCCGCGACGGGAGCGAATCCGAGGGTACAACAGACCGCGCCCCGGGTTTCGCGCTTGCGCGGGGAGATTTGACACTGACGTTCATGGACTGGTGGTGGTTGTCCTCGACAAGGTTACACGAGATGCCAGAGGACGACAAATGCTCCGTCGTCGTCGTAGAGGGGTCCCGTGGATGCTATCTCCGCCAGTGCCACCACACGCGAAACCACCATCCACGACGGTATACGAAAGTGCGAATTGTACGAGTAACGGAATCTAAAAATACACTGTCTTGGTGAAACCGACACCACGGATTGTCTACCGTGATATAATAGCATAAGTGCGACATCCGGGGAAAAAGTCATTTGAGGCGACGAATACCGGTCGGTATGCATGCTTGACATTCAAAACATGGAGGGGAGATAGTGTAAATGATATCCGCCCAGCCGATTATAAGTGGTTTGTACCTGATCCCAGTGATAACGTGACACACCAGTAATGTGCCGATTTTTTTCATCCAATTAAATCGTTCGAGCTGTACTATTGGACAAAACAGAACCAGTCATGCCATAATCTTGTAAAAGTTTTAATCGGGGAAATATGATTATATTTAAAAGGTTTTCGAGTTTGAATTGACAACCCCGCCTCGAACGCGTGTCATCGGTGACGGCGTACCGTACACCACCCCGATACTGTAGGCTTAATGTGAATCGTGCCGACGTACAAACATGACCGCTTTGAGGAGGCTGTAGATGAACACAGGGATAGGATGTATGTGTTGTCTGGTTTTCGTTCGGCATTATCCCACCACTCGCCTACGTTATCATCGGTCATCTATTTACTATACGTATACGTCCTACGTACCGCTCATCTACGTTTGGTGCCAACCATGCCATTCATCCATGAAGCGAAATTGGAAATTTACAGTGTTACCAGTTTTTTTTAGCATACTAGGGAGATTTCGAAGATGACTTCACTCTTTCTTTTTCCGTAAAAATTGAAAACATTTTATCTCTATCCGTAGACTAGATGGAACCAAAATCGTGGACTTCGTGGATGATCGGCCAGGTCATGGTGGAAGTGGTGGTCCCATGGGTCATTCGCCGTTGAAGCGTTGGGGCTAGTAGGGACAGCAGAGGCATACGAAGGAGTGAATTGATTGAAACTCATGTTGTGTTAACGTTAGTTCAGTTGTTCTATGTGTAGGACGTTCGGAAAGGCGTAGCTACGAAGGCAAGGAGTGGCTTGCATCTAAAGTAGCACGCCTCGGCAACTATCACCAAAGCAGCTGCTGCAGAGGAGTGCTATTATACTAGTACTTATCTGGTGCTTCAATGGTATAGTTGATCAGCCACTGGTGCAACTCCGGCCGGATGTACTACTAGGCGCGGCCGACTAAGCTGCGGCGTGGAGGCCGCCTAAGTTGCTTTGCATAGTTCCTACATGTAATGATGCATGGGATTCTACGCCATTATGCATAAAGATGGAGGTTGTCGTTAACTTGTTCGCTCCCACCGCGCCTTTGAATGACCACCACTTCATGTGAGCCATCCTCCATGCTCCATTCGAAGTGCCAACAAAAAAGCAAAATGGACCCGTTTGAGGGATTCTGCTACTACTTAGTAAGTTCCGGAGTTTTCAAGTAAGTTCTAAGTAAGTTCCGGAGTTTTCCTCAACTCTATAAAGATTCAGATGTTATTTTAAGGATAAAGATAAATACTCACCTCTTACTAGGTAGGGGTTAGTGCATCTCAGTGCTAGGCGATAGCTAACCACTGAGATGCAGTTAATACCGGAGATTTTGCATCATATGTACTCACTGGGGGTAGGGCGGAGTCCCAGGTTACTTACTACCTTACCGTTTTTGGGGTCAAATATGCAGTTTTGCCAACCCTGCGACGGTATCTACTGGAAACGGCATATTTTTCTGCAAAATACAAGAGCCAATCATGAACCACAAGCATCATATTTCCACCAATAAAACGCATGTATTTGAGCACAATCACTTCCATTACTTTCCAATACTGACACTTTGCTGGAATGGCTCTCAACGGGCGGGGTGCGAACTTCACCACTGACGAGGACTGCCAGCTTGTTCGATCGTGGTTGAACATATCCCAAGATAAGTCTAAGGGGGGCGGGCAAAAGGCCGAGCAGTTTTGGGCCCGCGTGGAGGCGAGCTATTGCACCTATTGCGATCCGGACTGCCATCGCACAGTACGATCCTTAGCTACCCGGTGGAGCAACAAACTGGAATAATGCAACAAGTTTGTTGGGTGTTCAGCATATATAGTTCAGCATATATAGTCTCGTTTAATGTACGCTCTTGACCCCGGTGTTTGGTGTGGTCCGTTACTCGAGCTTAGGATCTCCCAAGAGTCGTCCATGTCCTCGTCGTCGTCGTTCCATGCCTCGATGGCATTGCACAAGGTTGAGCGCCAAGCCTCCATATCCGGAAATGACAATTATGCGGATTTTATACGTTTTACCATTCATTGGGTTTGCGCAAAAGTAAAATACAGTGGCGGTAAACGTCAAAAACAGTCTGATTATACCGTCGCACCATAATGCAACACCAGCGCTAAAATAGTTGTGTTGTGATCGAATAAAGTCGGACATCTCATCCGACTCAATTCTGATTGGCTTAAATTCGACCTAATTATCTTGCCTTTACTTTTTGCTGCATCATTTGGGGTCACAGTCTGTCAATTCCGACGTCATTGAGCTCCTACATCCACAATTTTGAGAAATACTGTAAGGGGATTGCCCAATATATACAGGTGCCGGGCAATCCATTAAGTACTGTAGGGTGTATATGCGGGAATGAACTTATGTCTCCCGTCTACGTTTTCTAGCCAGGCGTGCAAATGTGACCATGTTCATTTGGGACATACGAAGCTGACGTCCTAGTTCAGTGAAAACCCTGGATGATGGCAAATTGGCCATTATAGTGCCAAATGCAATGCAGCTATAGCCGTGACCGAGGTGTAGGGACGACCCAAATCAGTGTCAATCGTGCTGTTATAAACGTTTTGGAGCTCCTGCACCTCGAACTTCCACTCACACAAGATATTGCCTTGATTCTTGGTCAAGTGACTTGATCTTGTACAGCCTGGTCCTACTGGTGGTGTGGAGCATCCGTCAGAGGGAGGATCTCCCTGGCGGATGCTCCACACCTCCAGTAGTACTAACCAACCACTACTACTACAGCCACACCCACCACCACAGCAATCACTACTGCTCATCCTACGACCACCAGAGCAAGACCAACCACTACTACCACAGCCACACCAACCACCACAGTAATCACTACTGCTCATCCTACGACCACCACACCTCCAGGCTGTACTGAACTGTCGTTGCTAGCTGGCGGGTTGCAGGCAAAACTTCATTATGTTGTTCATCTGCCATGGTCAAAATGCACTCAATGGATACAGGACATTCGGTCCGACTTTCTTCTGTCAGTTTCTCACGTCTGGTTTTGACTTCGCTTTTGTATACAATAAATATTACAACGAACAAGAAAGTTGGACAAACGGTCCGACGATCACTTGGCTCCTGTATATCCTATCCG